TTCTGCATATCCCAATCTACTGTAAAGATAATTTCTAAGTAGTGTTTTGTCTTCAAATCATTTCAGTTGTTTACCTCCCACCTTCACCATCTCTTTCCTCTCCATGGTAATAGCAATTATAACTAGGGGGTATGATCAAAAACACCATGAATCCTAAGATATTTTTTAAACATTTCTTTTAGTAAAAGACACTTTGCCACTGAGCTCTCTCAGAATCCTCCCACTCACTTCAAACACACATATCCCACGGTTCTTGCCGCTTTCTGAAGCAGCTGTGGAAATCCTCTTCCCTGGGTGTCTTTAGTTGAGCTATTGTTGCTTCCTTGATGTCCTGAATTGATTCAGATGTTTCCCTTTCATGACTTTAGGCAGAGCCAGAACGAGGCAGATGAGGACACAGCATAAGGTCTCTAAGAGCCTGCCTTTCTGTGGGATGGCACCTGGCAGCAGCATTCACCACGGTATTCATCACTTCTCACAAAGACACTCAGGAAAGAGGAGTTCCAAAATTGCTTCAGAAAGTGGCAAAGACAATAGGATACATATTTTTGAAGCAGAGAGTGGAGGGGATATTTTGAGGGAGATTAATGTCAACGTGTCTTTTACTGCAATACATTTTTAAATTTAAAATTCACTGGTTTTGGATCACCTTTGTATAGTAGAATTACCACTTATTTTTCATATCATAAACAAGCATTTTATACTATTTTAGGTTGTTGCCACATTTCTCTTAGACATTTTAAGACATTCTGGAACCTTTAAACTGTACATCCGTCCTTGCTAGATGCAAGACTTTTTTAAAGGATTATACTTACATATGGATATTCAATGATCATCCTCTCCTTCGTCTTCCATGAAAAGACAAAGCTTGCTCTTGGCGAAGCTCTTACTTTTCTCACATAGTTCTGATGTGTTTTAAACCTCTTTTAGTTTTGCAGCCTTAACTGCCCTGGTTGGTGGGTATTGTCTCATAAAATGATGACAAACTCAAATGAGCAAACTTAGGGTTTGTTTTTGAAGATGACTAGAAGTCACCTTGTATATTACCAATTAGGATACTGAGGGGCTGGGGATTTAGCTCAGCGGCAAAGTGCCTGCCTGGCAAGCGCAAGGTCGCGAGTTCGGTTCCTGGTACCGGAGAAAAACCAAAAACAAAAAAACAAAAAAACAAAACAATTAGGATACTGATGTTGCAATATTCCTGCTACTAATGATTAAAGTCATGATAGATAACATATTTAAACCTGTAAGACAAGGAGAAAATAATAAGTATTCACTGTGTACATTATTCTAGGGTGAGTGCAAAGTGCTTTGCTTGCACTACCTTATAAGTCTTGACCAAGCTCCTCTGGGTGAACCCAGAATCTTCCATCATGTGGCACCTTAGGACCCCAGCATACAGCCAGCTCTCACTTCAGTTCTGTACTTTTGATACAGCACTCTGAAAACACTGGGCCTCAGAACCCCTTTACATTCTTCAGAATTCTGATTGGAGAGCTCTTGCTTATGTAGGTTATAGATATTTCTATATTAGAACTTAAAGCTGAGAAATACTCTGACATTAAGTAACATGTTTTATGAAATATAGCTGCATTTTCTAAGACAAGACCAAATTTGTTTTTCACATGAAGAACACTGAATTCTCTTTTCTGTCTACACTCAATTTGTTTCAACTTTGTTGCTTTGGTTGAGGCAGTTGAAGAAATGCTAGCTTTCTATAGATAAGTAATGGGGCAGGGGGTGTTATTTCAGGAGGCTACACAGACATGATTGTTGATATTCTTTGATTCTAATCCAAACTCTACAAATGGGAATTTCCTACAGGTTAGGTGCAATGTGGACTCTGAACCCAAACTTTTTCATAGCGCTGTGTATTCATGAGGGGAATGAAAGTAGAAACACAAATAGTGTCTTTCCATTATTATGAAAATATTTTGAGCTTAAGGACTCACTAAAAAGGCTCAGAACCCTCAGAGTCCCATGGAGCACACTTTTAGAACCTCTGGTATAAACTAAGGAGGTGAGAAACAGCCCAAGCAGCAGACGATTATGGGTACTATATTGCTACCCTCTTTACCCTATCTGATTCTAAAGCCTAAGAAGGAAAACAGACAAGTAACCATCTCCTCACATCCTGCCAAGGGATAGAGAGAGTGGAGATCATGTTTCCACCATCACTGAGAGACCTCAGAGCAAATAATTGTAAAACTGTGACCCTAAGTATAAGTAGGCAACTCTTCTTTCTTTGATTAATTGAAATCAAACATGTGATAGAACATATAGATATGGTAGATGCTTTCTTGGAATGGCAGGTAAAATTAACCATACTCAAAGCCTTTAAAATTAGCAAACATCAACACTGATAAAATAGTTGAGACTGTCAAATGCATTCTATTTTCCATTGTCAAATTTTCTATACTCCACATGGACTTTAACATATTTTCTATTATAAATAAAAAGAAGACAAAACTTTTGTCTGGCCAATGAGATGCTAAAGCTTTTTTTGTGAATTATGCAATGGCATGTTTCCCCTTTCTGCAAACTGAGCACTAACCAAAATAAGAAATGTGTTTTCTGGAGCACTTACTCTTTTCTTTCACTAGTATGCTTTAACAGTGCTTCTACTTAACTTGCTAAACATCATTTTATTGTTACTTAAAGATATATAAGAGTTCCTGTTTACCCGTAAACTTTCAAGCTACTAACTTACAGTAAACTTCCTGACCATCATTATTAATAATTTTAATGCTGACTTAATATAGCATTTCTCTTGAGCATAGAAAGGGACTATTTATTTGTATACATCATTTTATTAGGAGAAACATTTTACTTATAAATAAACGTGTTCTTTCTATATTTTGCTTTTGAAATAACAAGTTCAACATTTTTTACTAGAAACAGAATGGTTATCATTGCTTTCTCTGAATAGATTTGAGAATTGTATTAAGAGATCCACCCAAAATTGTCTGCAGGTTTGCCTTTCCATTAGGTGGACGGCTTTGAGGATGGTAGGACAGGCAGTTGTAGAAAGTTTCCAACAATAAACCTAAAGCATCAGTCCCCAACCTACTTTTCCCCTTACATCAGGACCATGAACACTCAAGTCAGAAATAAATCATCTGAGCTATTTATCAATATGACATGTGTTGTGGTGATGACATCTTTTGTTCCCCACCCATTACTCAATGTTTTCTATAGTATATTTTAAAAGTACGCTTGTCTGAAAACAGTTGATGACACTTTAACATGTCACATAAAACTTCTTCTCTGTATCTTTCTGCTGAACTCCAAGCACCATAAAACAGAGGTTGAAATACTGCTGCCTTAGAAAAAGTCAAATGTACCAAGCAACATTAACAACTTCAGAAATAACCCAAGTAAGAAAAAAACAAGATATATAGATGTAGAGCCACTATGGATTCTGCTTTAAATTTGTTAGATTTTTAAGTAATTAGACCATTACATTTGAGCTTAAGTAGTTAAAAAGAAAATAAAACCTTGTGGACATTCAAGACAATGTGAACACTTGCATGGGTATTTTTTGACCCCACATATGTTTTTTTGACCCCAAATTGCTTTTGTCTGACTAGACTACAGTGTCATAGTTACTATTAGGTTTATTATACTGGGTAAAAATAAAAGGCCAGATGCAGAAGTACACAGGGAAAGAGCTGGAAGAGCGCCCAGCCCAGCGGTCCCTGTCCCCACAGACCTGGAGTGGTCCACCCTCCCGGAACATATGTGTTCACCAAATTGGGAACTCCCCTGTCCCTGTTGTTTAAGGGGTTTGCTGGAGGCACTGTTACATGGGCAAGACTGATGCGATCACTGCCATTGGTGACCTCCCTGAGGGACACTAGAAGGTAGAGCAGAAAGTTCCAACCACCCCAATCATAGGGCTGGTTCCTCTGGCCCCCAGTTCCCATCCTGAAACTACCCAGGACCCTGGCAGAAGTCACCTCATCTGCATAAACTCAGATATGGTTGGAAGGGGCAGGTCTGAGTAACAAAGGATGCATCTCACCCCTCCTATCACTCAGTGAAATACAAGGCTTGGAGGAGGTTGGTGCCAAGAATTGGGCACCAAGACCAAATATACTTCTTATTACACTACTATAGCTAGGTTTCCTCCAGGTAGTGGCAGTGAGGTTTCAGAATCTGACACGGACAGATTATTCCATTTCATGCTGAACATTCTGGACTTTCTTCCATGGCCATAGCCCTTAAACCAGTTATCTACTGCTGCCTACCATCTTACCCCAAAACTTAGTGCCTAAAAACAACTAACAGTAATGATCTCGCCATTTCTGAGGAATGAACATGTAAGCACAGCACAGCCAGGAGATGGGGCCCTGAGTCCCTTATAAGGTGGCGTGAAGTGTCAGCCAACATGTGTTCCCACCAGAAGACGATGGGAATGGTCAGGGTGTCCAGTACGATGCTTCTAGTGCCCTGCCATGTGGGCTACACCATAAGGCTGCTCATGACGTGGCAGCTGGCTCCCCCAAAAGCAGGAGGCCCAACTGGGAAAGAACAAGAAGGGCCAGAAGAAAGCCACCAGTCTTCACCAGACCCAGAGGTCATAGCCCATGGCTTCTGCCATATTCTGTTCACTAGAATGGCTCAGTAAATCTGGTCCAGACTCCAGAGAAGGGGATGACACAAAGGCACTGAGGCTCATCTTTGAGGTCATTACCCCAAGTTGCCCCACCCCAACACAACTGGACTGAATCTGGTAGATTGTAAGAAACACTCAACAACAAAGAGAAGAAGCTATCCGGAGATTTGTTTGGCTACTTTGTCACATCCTTTCATTTTGCTCAAAGAATTTTCACTTGATTAAACCAAATTCTCATTAATTTTATAGTAAATAGCTTCATTTCAGGGGAGAACACTGCATATATAGTTAAGAAAGTAAAATCCCAATAGTGAGACATGAGTTTGGCTTTATCTACTTTGTGTCCACCGGATAATGACCCTGTTTGCCCATCTTTTTAAAGGGAGAACCAGGTTTTATTGGTCCTCAAGGGGAACCAGGCTTACCAGGGTTACCAGGGACAAAAGTAAGTACAATCTTTTTTCCTGCCTTCCTTTCTGAAATTTTGTCCTACATGTTGAAATGTGGGTGACACTATTGTTTAGGTGACCCGGTATTTCTGCCTTGAGGAGAACTGGTCTACCCTTTCCCAACCCCTCTACAAGGAACATAATGTTAATTAGATGAAAGGGAAGATAATTCCAGAAAGCTTTAGGTGAGACACCAGGTTGGAGGGATGTATTTGCTCTTCCGGTTGTCCTCTGGGTCTTCCTGAACTGTTCCAATGCTATTACCTTCCTGGCCCTGTGGAGAGGGAGGGGAGTTAGGGAAGACAGAACTCATTAACTCCTGCATGTTGTCACCCACATCAGCCTATATTTATAAATCCAATACTATCACGATTCTGGTCACTTTTTCAACTTCAAAGGCAAGTGCAGATGTCATATAGATTCCAAGTGCTTCACTCCACAAGAACCCTCCCTGAATGACGTCTACAGAAATGTTCTGTAATGAAAACCATCTCGTATGATCTTCTACTTGGCAGCCCCAGAGAGGACCCGAAAAGCACCCACCACACGCTGCCATGTGAAAAAAGATGTCAGGCCAGAGTTCTCTTTTTATCTACCCAGGAAGACATAAAAAGGTGCAGCTCGGATGGTGGAACTGTCTCATGACAGGCTCGTGAATCAAAGGAGGGGAAAAATTACATCAAACTGTATTCTTTTATTTTTATTCCATAGCAGTCTTTGCCTCAATGTGTACTGCATTCACCAGAAACAAGCCAGGGATGATTTCCAAGAGTTGAAGAAATATGTTCGAGGTCTGTTTTGATGGGATGGTCCTGCTTTCCACTGGTCAAAGGAAAATAATTATAATCTTAGTAAATGGAAACTATGCATGGCCTGAGGGGGGACTAACAGAGTGGGATTATGCAAAATTGTTGTTTTCTTAAGACATTTCTTTTTGCATATAAACTGTCAGGCTTATTAACAAGGGATGAAGGATGCCTGTTTTAGCCTGATGAGATTCACACAAGAAACACCTTTCTGGAATAAAAAGAGAAAGAAAGAGAATAATAAACATTCCCTGTTGCTATGAGAACTGTCAGGTTTGCTGTGGCTCCCGCCTTGTTGGAAGAGCATGGCATGCTGAGCAGTGAAAGCCTCCTGCAATCGTCGGGGGCACTTCTTCTGTGATACAAAGGAAAGCAAAAGAAACCCAGGCAGGAGAGAGTGGAGTTCATTCCTAAGCATCTTCTCTTCAGTTAACTAAACTGCTCTACAGTTTCAAAAAGAAAGATGCAGGTGCAGACCCATACAAGTCACATTAATCTCTGTGATGAATGATGCTGCATGACTGTGCAGAGCAAATACCACCCTCAGCCTCCAGTGAAAGGAAGCATTAGGGTATCTGTTTGGTACCCTCACGGGCAGGGATCCCAATAGGAAATTCATTTTATTAGCGATATTTTGAAGTTCATTGTCAGCTGACTTACCTAATCATGTTCAGTATCATAAGAGAAAAATCGTGATTATTCAAAAACCTCTTTCTACCCAACATGATGGCTTTTCAGTTGCATAGACAGTCTGGTTTGGACTGTTAACTTCAGACTTAAAAAATAAGCTGAGACTGTACTTTTTCTGGCAATGTAGGGAAGAGTGCGTGTGATAAAGAAAGACGTGGAACAACATGGAGAATCTGTTGTTGGTACTGCTGCCACAGGCGCCTACATCAGTGCCTGTGTGGGACCTGTAGCTATCTGAAGAAAGTGTGTTTTAGTCAGAGAATTTTAGAATACTTTGAGCAACACTGTTTATTTATTAATTCCACCAAAAAAAAAAAAATGCTGGGTATTTTTCTGCATTTGAGAATGGGAAGTAAAGGCAACAAAAGCAGCCTGCCTTCTGGTGTGGGCAGTGGAGTGGTAGAAGGAGAAAAAGAAGTAAACAAATAAGTGATAACATGCCAGACCACGATAGGGGAAAGAACTGGGCCTCTGTGATTAAAAGTGATTCTATGTATAGAACTGCAGACTCCATTCCTCCTGTGATAAACTGCACATATGAGACTTGTTTTAAGATTTTAATTTTTCCCTAAACTAAGTTTACAGTGATTGGTTTGGGAATTATTCTGCAATTCTGAAAGTGAAACATTTGAAACAAAAAACACCAAGTACTGTACATTTTTAAGATAAAAATCATCCATACCCAGAGAAGCTCTTCAGTCTCATGAGGGGTCAAAAAGAAAAGAAGAAGACGAGAAGGAAGAGAGAGGAAGAAAGCCCTCAGTGCTGAATCATCTTTCCCACCCCCTGCATCCAGCCATCCAGGCTTTTCTGTCTTCACACCCTTTGGCTGCTGCAGAGAACGCTCCCGAGTTTTCCTCACCCCATCCTCCCATCAGCTGCCATAACTTGTCTTACCCCCACACTCCCACGCATGGAACCCCAGAGAAGGACCTTGGAACTCAGAGCCCATGCTGCCCATCAGGGGTCCAACCCTCCTCTTTATCCTCCCCAAGATGAGTCCAAGAAGACAGCAGCCCTCTCCCCCATCACCGTGCCATCCACCATGAGACTCCACATCTATTAGCTCACTGAAGTTCTTCCCATCATGTGGGAAGCCGAAGTTCTCCATTCTATGTTTAAGGAGTGAAAAATGGCACCGTCTTCTTGAGGCGGCTCTTTGGCAAGATCTTAAAATGTTCACACCATTGGATCCATCAGTTCCCCAACTAGGAATGTACTGTTAGAAAATGACCAGAGATGCACCAAACACTTCAATGTGAGAACACGTATGCAACTAGTTTTAAATTACAGCTCTCTCATTTTAAAAGATTTGTGGCTTTTGGCAAGCTACTAACCTCTTTGTGCTTCGGCTTCCTCATCTGTAGAACACAAATAATAACACATTCTTAGAAGGTGTTCTATATAGTTCCTGCCATCAGCAAGGATGACAGTGTCAACCCTTCCCCTTCAAGGCTCAACTTAATGCTCTGCCCCAAAAGCCCATCTCCAAACTCAGACCTAGTGGGGCTTCCTCTTCTGTCCCATGTGGCCCGTGTTACTGCTTAACTCTCTCATTCATGTGGCTGTTGTCCATCTAGTTGGATCGCTGGCTCCTTGAGAACAGTAGCCATGATTCAGCTTCACAGAGCTGTGCATCTATTAAAAGCTGTGTACCTATATGTTGTATACCATTCTGAGCATTATGTGCATAAGTTGTGAAATCAGTACTTTTCTTCATTTCACTGAGCAAACTGAACTCACAGAACTTAACCAACTTACCTCAAAATGCAGAACCAATAAATAAGTGGAGCCAAGAATAAACTCTAGGGTGTCGGATTACAAAGCCTGCGGTTTAACCGCTTTGCCAGGCTTCTTGCTCTAATACTTAAGAAGTGGCTGCAGTGGAGAGCAGATCTCTATTCCTGTCTTGAGAGAGAACAAGGGCCCTCATCTGTTCCCTTTAGAGGTCCTTCCGTTCACCAGTACAGCTGTTGGACAGGTGTCACCAAACCGTTTCCTCCTGTATAAAATGGGGATGATACTGCAAACATTGTGCAATTGTGTACTAGTCAGAATTCTCCAGACAGAAACAACAGGATGGAGGGATGGAGAGACAGAGCAACGGACAAGTGGGTAGACAGAGGGAGGGTGGGAAGGGTGGATGCATGGATGGATGGACGAACAGACAGACAGATGGGTGGAGAGGTTTCAGGGTGATTGATTCGTATGACTATGGAGGCTCAGTTCAAGTCCTAAGGCTCCAGAACCAGGGGAGTTGACAGTAAACTCTTAGCACAAGATCAAAGTGTGAGGATGCAGGGGTCACTGGCACAAGACCTGGAGTCTGAAGGCTAAAGAATCTGGAGTTTTGTAGTCAAAAGAAAGAGAGAATCTTCCAGTCCTCCGCCCTTTTGTTCCATCCAGCATCCGGCCAAAGGGGCGACAGCCTCCCCATTGAGGGTGCATCTTCACCACTGAGCCTGCAGTCTCCTCTGGAGACACTTTCACAGATACACCCAGAAATAACCCTTTCCCAGCTCCCCCTAATCCAGTCAGGGTGGCACCAGAAATTAACCATCGCGGAGGGTTTTGATTACTCCTGAGATCATTCATGTTAAGGGATGAACACAGGGGCAGGCACATAGTAAATAAATGGTGACTTTCTGCTTGCCTTGGTTTTATTCAACTCACGTGTTCATCTGCAGGGCCCAGCCTGGGTGGGTTGCCACTAATCTGTTCTGTACTCCATGCCAGGGTGAACGTGGTGAGACAGGGCCACCAGGAAGAGGTGAACGAGGGGAACACGGAGCCCCTGGACCAAAGGTCAGTATTCTCACATGGAGGAGTGCGTACTTTGGTTTGGGAGCACGTGTCTCTTACTTTACATTAGAATATGGAGCTAATTCCTCAGCAACCCAAGGCACCAATAACTTACTGACATGCACACTCACCAGTCCATTTCAAAAGGGATTTTACAGCTGGGTGTGGTGGCACACTTGGGTAATCCCAGCACTCAGGAGGCAGGAGGACTGCTGCAAGTTGAAGGCCAGCCTAAGATAGGAAGACCCTGTCTCAAAAAACGGAAGACAGTTTGTAATTCAACTTTTCCCTGTGCCTTCTGCTCTATTTGGTGAATACAATAACACATCCAAATGTAAAGGGGAGGCATTGTCACATTAACCCCTTATTACTAGCTCTGTATTAAACCCCACTAAGAAAAACGTATTGAATGCTATGTTGATTTCTATGATAACACGATGGCATATTAAACCTTGAAAATATTAGAGCTATGGGTTTATTTGTTGAATCTGTATTCATCTAAACTTCCTGCAAACTAATCTGGTCACACTTTATTTTAATAACTCCTCCTTGAAATCTGGGAAATGATTTACTCTGTGATGAAAATGCAATTTATGCAGACAAGGACTGTTGAGACTAATAAGAATCATGCACAGAGCTCTCCTGACCACAGGTGGGAGCACAGGCTTCAGAATAACCAGGGCATCAGGTTGGTGGGGAGACCAGGGAATGAGCTAGCAGTACAGTGACGATAAGTGCACTTACCCAACATCACAGAAGCCCTATCTTGAGGCTGTTAAAATAAAGTGTTTCCATGTTTCCTCATTGTTCTGAGTCACTGCTTATTTCTTTTTCTTATCTCCTCTGACATTTTCTCTTTGTCATCTTCCTGTTCTCCTGTAATAGGGGAAACAAGGTGAACCAGGAACTAGAGGCCCAAAGGGGTCAAAGGTCAGTAACTTGGTAACCATTTGGATGTGACAGGGGCCTTCAACATCTGTGCTTTGTGCCTTTTTTAAGGAAAATCCTGTTTTAGATTAACCTCTCCTACTCAGGGACTGCAATAATTTTTTCTATGATAGGATCACAAAACAGTTTTCTCCTGTAGGTTTCTGTGTGTTCTTATATTTCAGACTATTCTTTAAGAGAGATTGCATTCCCTGTTTCATGAAAGTAGCTTCTTTGGGAAAAAAATAATTAATTTAAATAATTAATTTAAATTACATATTGTGTAATCTTATTTTTCATTTCCTGCCTACCTGTGTGATAAATATTCAAAGTACACTTTCTTTTTCAGTTAGACACCTCCCTTTATTGCATTAATATTTTGCCAACTGAAATTAGTCCCTTTATCCTATCTACGAGAACTTACATACCATTAGGATAATTGTGGTTTTTTTTTAAATGGCACTAGCTAGTAACATAAAAATGGGTATCAAATGAAGAAAACAGTCATCGAAGATAATTAATTCTCCACAACAAATTTGATTATTATAGTCATTTCTATTAGCATAATGTGGTTAGGAAAATTGTAATCCTGGTTCCTCTTTATCATTGTTGATCTTCACCCATTTTATAGAAATACATAGAGTCTGAAAAAAAATGCTTCAAATTCCATTTATGCAAAGGTCCGTGTAAATTTAAGCTATTTTAAAGGACAACCTATACAAGTGCAAATCTTTTCTCCAAACTACCAACTTAGACTTTGGAGACTTTTGACAGCTTTGACTACTCCGGTGTCTGTAAAGGTTATTCCTAGTATCTCCACAGGTGGGATAATGACATCATGAATAAAACTTAAGAGATTTTCCGTATTGCCTTGAAAAAGAGAGCAAGCTGCCCTGCCCCTGACCTTCATCCTGCCACCCTGGTCCAGCAGGGTGCTGTCCACCCCAGCACTGAGTACCAGAGTCCTAAACCTATAGCTCCACTGTTCCTCCCAGCTCTCATCGTCGCAGGGAGGCCTAGCCTGGGCGCCTCTGTCTTCATTCTCTGTAGAATGAGCTCTCCCTTCCTCTCCTGTCCCAATGATCTAGGCTCTTCTTCCCTGAGGACAAACACAGTTGCTTGGCCCTTTTTCCCTTTGTCCTAAATCCCTGCAAATACAAAGCCATGGTTCAGCCTGAAAGGTAAAAGTTTACTTTGGGTGCCTTGGAAACTAGCAACCACTGGCTTTGCTTTTGCAAACCCCACACAGTGAGAGTGACAGGTGGACAGTACTCCTGTTCCCAGATACCCTCTTCTCTGAAAAGGGAACTGTAATTCCCTGCAAGCTACATCTTAAAGAAGCCTGTGCAGTGGTGGTGGTAGCTGTTTTTCTGCTTCAGAAGCTCACACTAAAAGTGCTGCTGCATGTTATAGATATATCCTTAGGCTTGAGAGATTTCTAGACCATTGGCCCTACTACTAATTGAAATATTTTCTTTTTCTTTTTTTTCCCATTGGAAAAGGGTGATCGTGGAGACAAAGGGGACGCTGGAGCTCTAGGGCCAAGGGTGAGTATACCTTTCATCTAAACTTTCAGCCCTTACAAACCAGATTTGAAGTAGTGTTCATGTAACTTTTTGAGAGCTACTGGGGTAAGAAAGCATTGGAACAGGGCTGCTGGAATTATTCCTCTGCCTTCCCCTTTTCTCGTTTTTAGTCTCCAGGGGTAGTGCGTGTGGAGTCTATGAAGGATAAAAAAAACTCCCTCCCCACTTTCCCTTTGCTAAATGAGCAATAGCAAAACCACAGCCATTCACCCAATAGAATTTCCCATTTTTCACTTAAAACAATTACAGCATAAAGAGAGCAATTGCCCATATGTTTAGAGCCTTTAAAAACAAGGCAGGGAATTAGGACATGACTAATGGAAGTTACACAGCAGATATAATGAATAGAGTAGAAGTCTAGAATATATTTATGTTGTCTATAGAAGTCTACATAATATATCATACATTCTGTTTTGTGTTCCCTACTTGCTTTCATTTTGTGGGATTCTGTTCCCACTGGGAAAGCCGCCCACTCCCCATGGAAATTTACTCTATCTTCTTAAAGAATGAGGAAGCATTCTGTGAGATCTAAATGAGTAGAGACATTTGCCGTTGCTTTAATCGCACAGGTAAACCCAATAGAATTTTGTAACACACGTCAAATAAGTCTATGTTTTATAATTTCCAGAAAATAGTTTCAGAGATTAAACCTTATAGGCTTTTAGACATCATATTTCCTCTATTTAACCTCCCGTAGACAGGAAGTCAGGAGTGATTTCCCTTCTTGGGAAAATGGGAAAAATTTGAACTTGATTATCTGTTCCGAAGTACAGCTGGGTCTTGGGAAGGAAGTGAAGGGCAGAGAGAGCTGCACGTTGCTCCTGTTTCTGCCACAGGCCCTGATGTCCCCGTCTAACTCCCGTGAGTTTCCCCTGCTTTGCTTTTATTGCAGGGCCCACCGGGGCAGAAAGGCGATCCGGGAGCTACAGAGATCATAGACTACAATGGCAACCTCCACGAAGCCTTACAGGTAGGTGGCTGTCCCCACCCTGAGGAAGGCTGAGGCTGACACTGACGAGTCCTGAGGTGATGCGTCAGTCTGAGCTCCTGTCCCCTCTGACCTCACAGCAAGCAGGTCCCTGCTCAGAGCCCACCCCCTCTCTGCCCCAGGAATCTTTACTTGCTAAGGTTTGGGGCTTTTTGTTTTTTGCAGTAGTGGAGCTTGAACCCAGGGCCACACACACACTGGGAAAGAGCTGTACAACTGAGCTATGTCCCCAGCCCTTTTGGAGACAGGAATGGCCAACTGGTGATCCTCCAGCCTCTGCCTCTCAAGTAGTGAGGTCTACAGGCGTGCATTGTGGTACCCAGTTTGTGATCTTTTTCTTCCCATACTACCTTCTGATGTTCCTAAGCCTCATCAAGTATAAAGTGTGTTAGTCTGGCCTCCTTTCTGTAAGAGGGAGCTCTGGAAAGCAACTAAGTGCCCTGTATTCTGGAATGGGAGCTTTATAGGTTCAAATCCCAGCTCTTTTGCTGACTCAATATATTACCTAGGGCAAGTTATTTAACCTCTGTGTGCCTCGGTTTTCCTCCCCGTGAAGTGAAGACCGTAGTAGTATCAGCTCATAGGCTAAATCTCTCTCCTTCACTTTGAATACAGCTTGGCGCACACTCTGCCCTAAGTATTTCTCATTACTGCTACCATTTAGTTGTTTTCCTTCCAGTAAGTAAAAAATAGGCTCAGTGGCTTGTCTCTACCACCGTTGCTTGCTGCTCACCCTCTATGCATTCTAGTCTCTCATCATTCCTTTACAACTCCCTACAAAAGCCAGTGCTACCCACTAGGTAAAGCCCAGTGTACTTGTCTTGCTTGACTTTTGAGTGACATTTGCACCAAGCCAAATTCCTTTTGAAACTCTTCCCTTTTTGGACTCTCTGAGCTTGTATTTTCCTTTCTTCCATTTTTCTCCTCTAACGGAGCTATTCTAGTTTGGTATTTCTAACTTCTCCATACATCTCCAAACTTTTGGTATCCAGAAGTCTCTGACATGTTCTTAGTGCAGTCATTCCCTCTGTGGGTCTCTACACCTGGTTCTCAGCTCTTTCGTCCATGGAGCGAATCTGAGTGGGTGCCTCCGGCCAACTAACAGTAATTCCATTACAGACCTGCCATGCCTGTTGGCTTCCATCAGTGCTCACAACTATGCTGGTTACCTCTCCCACCTACCAAATGATTCCTTTTCTTAATTAACCGGTCGTTGTTAGTGTTGCCTCAGTCTCTGTGTTTCTTGGGTAGAAACTTTAGCTATTTTAAACTATTCCCAGTGTTTCCTCCATTCCTTCTCACTGGGGGCTGCTGTTTTTCTCAGAATGTTTCTTGTTGCTGCCCTTTCTCCATTCCTAATGAGGACCACCTCCTGTTTTCCCCATTCCTAACACTGTCACCCTGGGCCAATTCCTCTTCCTTCTTGCACTCCCGCCCTTGGAGTCCAACCTATGCATCAAATCACTCCAAGGCTGATTTCTTTAAGCTGCCATTACTTTAGCTGCTAATTTGCTCAGAAACTTGAATGATACCTTTTCACCTACTCTATCAAGCCAGAATCCCTCCAGCTGGCACTGAAGGCCCTATGAATTTACCCTTGTGCAGAATGTTTTATTTCTCTACAACAATTTTTCCTGGCTTAGTCATTCTAACTGTATCTGTACAAATCTTTCTGGGAGGCTGGATTTACCCAATTCCTTTTTCCTTTCTTTTCATCTAAATACTGTCCTAAAATCTACATGTTGCCACAATGGCTTCCTCCTCACAATCCTTTCTAGCGTTATAGTCACGGCCCGGTAGGTAAACATTTAATTGCTCTCAAATCACATAATGGATTTTAGTTTTCCTTACTAGATTGCAAGTTTCTTGGTGACTAAAAACACGTATTATCGTTAGTCTGCCTTGGCATGTAGGTATGCCTTACCCAGTTAGGGGCTGAGTGAGTTATGCACAACCATTTCTTAGTTTCAAAGCTAAACTGGTTGTTTTAAACATTTCCCTCAGTTATGTGCTTGTTTGAATTATTTTTCCATCCTTATGATTTCATTAATATGATCTAACTGTGCTGGAGCTACACTTCTGTGGGTCCTTGGCTACAATTATCATTTTTATTACTAAAGTATCTACTATCAGTTTGTACAAATACATCTTCAGGTTAGCCCACTTTTCAGTCTTCCCATTTTTTCCTGGTAAAATGCAGAGAAAGAAGCATATTTCCTGGGGAGAGGTTCAGAGGAGGTGTTCAATCAACAGTTTGAATTTGTGTCCCTCAACCTGAGTAGTTTAAATGCAAGCAGTAGAATCTGGTTAATGTCACGTTCTAGACCCACTTTTCTAAATTGTTTACTTTTTCTACAAGGTGGTACTGCATATGGGGAGGAGGAGACAAAAGAATACAAAGTTTAGTGTACCTACTGTGTTTTCAAAGTTCTCCCTTACATAGGAAAATATAGGGGCACTGTTTAAAACTTGATTTATTAGCAGGGTTGTGCATTTCTCTTAAACTGTTTCAATGGCACAATAATTCCTGCATCTACCTTTAAGAGTTCACTTTCTTATCTCCCAAGAAATGCTCCAATCTTCCTGGCCATTTTCTGTAGAATTGTGCAAGAGTTTTTAAAGCATTCTTTGAACATAGTCTGGCATTTGGCCTTTCTTTAGTCTGAAAAGGAAATCTGTAATCCAATCTTCCTTCTACTACTACCAGACCTAGCTGGGTCTTTTGGGAGGAGCCACTGTCTCTGTGCTTCATTGATCTCATCTGCAAAACAAAGATGTCAACAGAATAGATATTTTTCCAAGCATCTATGGTGTATATTATTATTAGGGTTATTGTTAGGGGCTCCTGAATGCTTTTTCACTGGTATGCCCAAAAGCACTGTGCCTTTTAAAAATCCAATGCCTGCTGCTTGAAGGATGTATGCTTTCAATTTCTTTCCCTCCTAAGTTCTATGACATGTTAGTCAGTATCCACCATATTTACACCTATTTCCTGCTTACACTCAACCCAAGGGTATTTTATCCTTATGGAGCTGTGAGGGCAATCATACGCTATGCTTGTAAAAAGCTTGTATTTATTTTTTTCACTTTAAAACTGTACCAGTTTTCCTAACATAGTACTGTAGTGGATAAAGGTCCCTGATAAAATCAGTTCAGTGAGGAAGCCATTAGATTGAGAAGAGAAAGAAGACGTTTATTCTTATTTTCTAGCCAGTGATGGATATTTACTGTTCTGTAGAGTTCATTCCATTATTATCCCCTATAAAAAGGTTTGCCAACAAATCTAAGATAATTAGATAAATAGTATATTATAGTTATAATAATAGCAAACTTAAAAGATAAAGTTTTACATTGTCTCTATTGAAAATTGTGATTCTATAAAATATTTCAGTCTACGAAAAAGTATGAAGAATAATATAAATGGCTTCCGTGGCCCAGTATTCACCTTATGTGGTAAAATTCTACCTTATACAGTTGAAGTGCTATGTCTGCTGTATCCCTCTGAATTTGGCATTTGTAATTCTCATGCATTCATTTGTAGATAATTGAAAAAATCAAAACCCACATAACAAATGGCTTGTCAAGTCACTTTTTTTTGGACTGGGAATCAAACTCAGGACCTTGTGCTTGCTAAGCAGGTACTGTGCCTCCAAGCTATGCCCTCGGCTCTTAAGTCACTTTCATCTGGAATGGAAATTGTGAAGTAAAGAACTCAAGCCATCTCATTACTTTTCTTTTTAACACCAAGGAAAATGCAGAAGAGCTTCTCTCTGCTATAGTCCTACCCATTTTGCCCTCCACGTACTACTACAAACTTCTTTTGAAGATGTTTTGCCCGTCTTCCCAGGCCTGCACCCATCCACATGTCCCATATCAACGTGTACTATCCCTAATTGTTTCACAAATTATTATTCTCTGTCCATCCTGTTAGACTACTAAAGTACACTGATCTACAGAAGTGAAATTGTTGTTTATATAAATATTTCTTTAAGCTACAGTATTTATTTAAGGTGATTAAATTTCAACAACTAGGAACAAACCTTTTCCGTGTCCCATTTCAGACTATTAAACCATCTAAATTAAGCCTGCTCTTTCATATAAATCATGAGTGATTGTTAAACTTGCATCATTACAAAAAATGATGGAAAATAACTTTGATTTTAAGGGAATTCATAGACATATCCCTGGTAATAAATCACTAGGCATCCTGCTAGGCTTCACTCAGGGTGCCACGGCTCCAGCTCAGGCCCCCTGCTTCACATCTTGTGTCACCAGAGAATACTGGGTCTTTCTTCATCACTACCACAAATTCTGGTTTTCCAATCATTACCAGAGTTCAAGAACGAACCCCGCTGGGTTTGTGTAGCTTTAATTTTAAAAGCCACGTATAGGAAGTCCAAAGCAACACAACATCTTCAGGATTTCCTTGTGTATCTGTTCATTGGTACAGCCCAAAAGTGATCAAAAAGGTGCGTTTGTGAATTCCCTGACTTTGTTGTCCTGTGTTGTTTATGAGTTAGAGGAAACCCTGTGTGATTTCAGCTATCACAAACATAGTTATTTAATGAAGTTTTATAAACCCCACTCGTTAGTTCCCTTACCACTAATAATACTATTTTGTTATGCAGCTTACTGTGAAACACATTACTAGCCTTAAATTTTTTGAAAAGACAAATCAAGCCAGACATGGTGGTGCACGCCTGTAATCCAAGCACTCGGGAGGCTGAGGCAGGAGGATCACCATGAGTTTGAGGCCAGCCTAGGCCACAAAGTGAGGTCAAGAGCAGGCTGAGCTGCATAGTTAAACACTTTCAAAATGACAAAAAAAAAAAAAAAAAAACAAATCAGGTTTGTGTTTTTTTTCGTTTGAAAAACAAACTCATGTATGGAACTTCCACTGGAAATCTGAGTTTAAACTGTAAAGTTGTTTGCCTTTACAAGGCTTTGTAATTTTGTTTTCTAGTTAAAATTGCAATGTGTAGCTGGCAGGCAATGATAAAGGAACTATTTCTATGCTATAATTTTCTAATAATCTTATTTAAATGGCTCATCTGTACCCTAGAAACCAAGGAGTAGCTTTCACATACTATGAGGTCTGATCAAGAAATATGATGAACGTTTAAAAAACACATTACTAGTCATCCACCTCAGAACACTCCCTCACTTTGAATGCACCCCATTGTTCTTGCTGCTTTCTGAAGCAGCTACGGAGTCCTCGTTCACAGAGTACCTTTAGATAGTTTCGCTGTCGTGGCTGCTCCTGAATTAATGTAAAACACTGACCTTGCCCAGTCATTTTGACTTTGGGGAAGAGCCAGAAGTCACACAGTGCTAGAGCTGGTGAATAAGGTGGGTGAGGACACTGTGTTCTCACAGGCCTGCCTTTCCATTGGATGCGTTGGATGGCACTGGGCAGTGGCATTCACCACATTTTTTATCACACCTGGGAAAAACACAGAAGAGGACTTCCAGAGCTGCTTCAGAAAGTGGCAAGAGTGATGGGATAAGTATCTTTGAAGCAAAGTAAATTTGTGGCAATATGTTTTTATGCTATAATAAGTTTTGGTTTAAACATTCACCATATAGTTCAAACACCTCTTATACAGCAGAAACACTCCAATTCCTTCTCTAGGTAATTCCTTTAAAAATAAAGTTAGTGGTACTTTGTCTCACAAATATAAAATTCTGTCTCCTTATTTCATTCACACATTCATATATGTGTATTTAAATTTGCCCCGGTTCGTACCTTTGTCATAGAAGCACTGATTTTTTTCTCCTACTATGTTTTCTCTGAAGCTACATATATTGGTCATGTCTGATTTTGTTACGGAAGACAAACTTTCACCCTTTGCGTGCATATATAACATTCTTTTCTAAGGAGTGACAGTACCCTGTCACTAAAGACTGAAGTGTTTGAAGTCAGGAGTATATTTTGCAATGTCAGTAAAAACAGCAACAGCAGCATAAATCAGACACAGGCACAGAGCAGTGGACTGCAAGAGACCCTGGTAAGCTAAGGTCAGCAAGTTTACATATGATTGTATAGTGTTCCTCTCTGACTAGCTCCTGAGTGGAAAACATCCTTTCCTCTATGGAGTCACAGGTATCGACAGATCCCATAGAGCTTTTGACACAGATGTAAACTAGAAAGTATTAATGCAGAAACATGACTCATGGATTAGGAGTCATGCTTTACAAATTCATACCTCAAGCGTGTACATTTTGGTGAAAGTAGCATAGCACTTTAGGAAACTGGATTACCTCAATGTCAGTTCATTTAGTTTCAGCACACATACAAAAATAAGTGAACTATAATGCAGCGAATGAGTCTAAAGGAAAAAAGATGAAAAGACATGCAGTTGGGAAATCTAGTTTTCTCTACTCAGAGTCCCATCTAGAATACAGCTTTCATCAATAGTAGATTTCTTAGTTCATAATTACACTGACAAGCCTCTAGAGCATACAACTTCACTACCTAATTTTTAACCATGTAAATTAAAATTTTGTTATTTTTCTCACCCATCAAAGAGAGGCAAAAGTAAAATTCCAGAGATAATTTTAAACAAAAGTCTAAGGATAATTGCAAATAAAAATCCAGAGATAATTTTAAAAACATGTTTACTCTATTGAAGATAGAAAAAATGTCCTCAACATCTTTTCAATTCCTTATAAGACATCAGACTTAATAAAACATATGCAAAAAAGTCAATTTTTTTCAGAAATGTATGATGGTACTTTGGCAGACAAAATAGGTAACTGTCTTTGTCCATACATTTTCCCAACAGAGGATTACCACCTTAACCGTCACGGTAACTCCTATTGCATGATTTCTGTGGATTGTGACTTTGTATTTGTGCTGATGCATGCAGGCTGAAATGGTACTAATGTGCAATTATTTTATCTGCTATGAAACATTTCCTTATATTAATCAACCTTTTCAACATTTGCCCTAGCTGAATCACATTGTTTCATGAAAAAGTCAAGAAAAAAGTTACTATTCATTTTCCTTAAAAGTTTGGGGCTACTCGCAATAATACAGCTTTGTTCGTTAGGATTTGGGAAATCAAAGACTATGGGGTGGCAGCGTTAGGTGTGTGTCTAGAAACACAGGAAACAGGAGGCTGGCTCATCCCGAGAGTTGAATGAGGGGTCTGGCAACAATGACAAACTGTCTCATAGAACCAGTGCAAAAGCGTCTTCAGTAATATTTTGACATAAGTTGTGTGGATATTTTAGCCTATAAGTATGTGGTTTTCATGATTCTATAGCCTGTGAAATGTTGCCCCTTTACACAGCAGTAATGGGAGATATCTGATTACAATAGACATAGAGGTGTGTAGTATGCTTATTCTGTAAAGCATGAACTTTAATACATATACTTGGTGCTTCTTATAACTGTTTCTTTTCTTAATTTAGGGTCCCCCTGGGCCTCCTGGACCTCAAGGACTACAAGGGCCAAAGGTGATTCTTTGTTTACTTGTTTCCCTGCCATCATATACAATGCAGAGAAGCCCATATTAAATAATCTGTGTTTTTAAGAAGTTCAGCCCCTGACAATGCTAGAGAAGCAAGATCAGCTTAGGAGAATGAAGAAAAGAAATTGAGCTAAAGGAAGAGGAAAAACTAGGAAGGAAGACTAGCAAAGAAGGCAGAGAAATGGGAATTAAATTAGGGAAAGACACTGAAAAAATAGAGACTATTAAACAAGAGCAAAACAGATTCAACACAAATTATAAGTACAAAGAAACACTAGCTGTGGTGTCCGAAAAAAGATAGTTTTTAAGTAGAAGAGGATTGTAGGATATCTACTTCGACACTCAGAAAGATCCTTCCTAATTCTTTTGTAATAAAAAAGAACAAGGGACGCTTTCATTCCTGAACCATTCATAAATAACAATTTTAGGAATTGCTCTTGAGTATTATTTTATAACACATTCTTTTATTATCTATATTCAGACATTCTGCCACTTAAGTCATAGGTAATGAAACGTACCAACCACCAATGGTAGAAACCTAGAATTAATTGATTGTAACTAAATTCTGTTGATGGTTTCCACTTTACCCCTCCAAACTGAGGTTTAGTCATTCAACCATGCCTGATCAATTAACACACAGCCAGGGATGCTGGCTTTTCAGAACTGAGCTACACATGTTGAAATATGACTTTCGTCACTGGATTCTTGTAGAAGATTCAAGCTGTTTCAAAACTTCATCTTTTGTTTATGCCGTGTAAGTCAGTTTATTTGTGATGCCTGTCCCGTGCACACATGTACACAGCAGCTTTTGTCCTCTTCTCTTTCTAGATGCTTAGAAATCTAGTGTTCAGAAAAATTTATTTTTCTTCTAAAGGAATGTAAAATACAGTCTTCCTGAGACCCTGGCCTGTGTGAGAAGTATCTAGAACACAGATTCTAGCTGTAAACAGATTTCATGTGCAACAGTAATGGAAGGTGTGGGGTTTTAACTTTCTATTTCTGCACCCTCGCCTAGTCCAGAAGAGATTTAACACAAAATATGCTGCAGTCCTAAGACAGTCCTTGTGTCTGATGAACAAGTGGGCCTGGATCCCTGTTCTTTAACTATTCCAGGCTCCTTTGTGGAGAGTTAACTAGGATCTAAGTTCTCTGCTTCACCACCTCACTTGACCAAATATCAAGAAAGCTAAACACATCCCCCATTTTGCACACCTCAAACATTTTCTCTACCGCTCCGGAACCTACAGAAGCCCAAAGATGCAAAAAAGGACCAGCTAGCTAAAAAGGTTACATCACTAAAACCTACTGCTCAAGTAGTATTTGTCTATTAATTCAGTTATTCAGTAAGTAATTTTTTGATCCTCTGCTCTGATGAGGGCCAAAATCTAGTGAGGGGACCAATAAAGGAATTCAGCAAAGAGCTTTCAGCGAGGGAGGGAAATAAGCAGGAGAAGGCACAACCGTGAACGAAGAGCTTTGGCTGAGAGCGTGGGCACGCATCACGTGGGAAGCCTGGAGTTCAGGATGACTTTGGGGTGAAACTGAATGACGCGGGGAACTGGCCAGCTGAATGTGTAAATGGTGGCGACAGGAAGGGCTGGCCCTCTCTCACCTCCAACCCTATTGCCCACCCCACAGTGGGCTCGGAATTGAACTCATGTGTTTGTGGATGCAGTCCTTTCCACATTCCCTGAGGCGTCCTTGAGAGGGTTGGGATACATGGGATGGGACACAGCTATGAATAAGAGACAGCAAAACAGACCTAGCTCAAGGGCCCAGCATGTCCTCTGTGGCCTGCATCTCAGACAGAACGGGAACCTATTCAACCAGCATTTCTCTCTCCTGTATCAAACAAGAATTATTTGATTTCTTACGCATCAGGTAACTTGTAACTCTTGCAAACCACATCGAGGGCTGAGGATGGACACTAAACCATGCATGAATTGCGCTGGTCTTTTAAGCATCGTAGGTCACATTGTAAAGCTAGAAGCCTTGCACGTATTCAGTCTGAATGAAGAGAGGGCCTGGCCACGTGTGTCCAACATCAGCAGACTTGCCCCATTTATTTCATTTGTTTACAATGACAAGATCATGCCTTCCTTAAATATTGGAAAGCTTAAATTTCATACTGTGGCCCATGGTTCTTAAAGATTTTTTTATCAGGGAAAGGAGCTCTAACTATTTCAACACCATGTTTATAACATCACCTGGCTCTTAAAGATTTTTTTATCAGGGAAAGGAGCTCTAACTATTTCAACACCATGTTTATAACATCACCAGGAAGCCATTCTAGAAAATACAGCTCTAGAAAATACACAAAAAGTCATCTCCCTTAGAACTCTCCCACACTTAGAAGTGTTTTTAAATTTTGTACAGTGTGGGAATCAGGGATATGTGTAATGGGATCCATACAAGTGCTCATTGATATAAAATAAATGACTTCCCTTTGAAGGAATTTGTTCAGCACTTTTTAAAGCAGAAAGGTGACTAGATATGTGTTGTTTGAATAATCTCCAGTGTATTGTTTAAATTTGTGTTCAATGAAACATCTTAGTTTAAGAAAGCTTAGATGTTTGCAGTTTGTCAAAGTTCAATAAATCATAATGGACACAATAAATTTTATTTCCATTCCTGGCATAGTATAGGAAATTGAATTGATCAAAAGTAATTTTTGTGGATTAAGATATTATCTGATTTATTATATCCTTCAGTGAGGATATTGTTTTCTGGACATTATACACTCACAGTTATTATGAATTTATTCAAACTGTGCCAGTTAAAATATGGCTATAAATTGCCAAGGCCTTGCATTTCATTCTTAGTTTACTTTTCACTAAAAATAAGAAAAATCATACAGATTTCATATGGAGAAAAAAGTAACTAACTTGAGTCAATGGGTGTTCTTAGAAGATATCATCAGCCATGAAATTCTTTCTATCAGTTTTCTTTCACCATTTTTTTAGCCTGCTTCTCACATGGAGGAAAAAAACAAAAGCTCTGAATTAATTTTAGCTACTTACAAGTCTCATCATACATAACCGTCAAGGAGGATGATCCCAGTTCCCTTAGTGAAGATAGGTCCTATGGAAGTATTCTTGGGCATCTGTTAAAACTCAAATTGTGCCTTTAACTGATTAGCATCATGTTTTCTTTAGCATAGTATGGTGGCAATAATAAATGGAAGCAAGCTATTGTTTGTATTTTAACAGGGTGAGCCAGGATCTCCAGGAATCCCAGGAGTTGATGGAGAGCAGGTAATTTTCAAGCCTATGTACCATTATTAAAAATATCATGATTGATGCTACTTTCATTCTAGGTTTGAAGCTAAAAAGTTATGTCTGGATATTGATATATGATATCCTCCTTCTTTTCTACCATCTGTTCTGGAGGCCACATGAACTCGGCAACGCAATTGGTTTTAAATTAGACTTTAGTTTTTATTTGTAAAAATATAAGTGATAAGGTTTGTTCCAACATCCCCCACCACTCAACCAGTGACTCCTCATACCTTATTAATAGATCTGTAACATCATCACCAATTTAGGAAGAATAGCCTGACTTTTGTCAGTGAGTACAAATGATTCATGATTGAAGTCAGCGACCGTAGTTACTGAAAAATAAGTTACTGTTTATATGTATTTTTGACAATGTTTTCTTTCCCAAGTAGAGATCATAAATTCCTGCATTCTGAGGAAAAACAGAAGCAAGGGGGGCACTTAGATTTCTATAGAATACAATAGCAGTCTCCTAAAACAGAGGTTCACATGCTTTTCTATAGAGCCTGAAAATAAATATCTTGGGCTTTGCAGGCTATATATTGTCTCTCTCACATATTCCCTTTTAACAGACATTAGAAATTCTGGCTATACAAAGACAGTCCCTAGGCTGCTATGGGACAGATGCTACATTTTGGGCGACTTCTTCCTTTTAAGACTCTTCCCAAAAGGATATGGACAACATTCAGAATCAAAAAAAAAGGGGTTAATTGGAAGGTGTTTAATGTTTTCTGAGCTTCCATTATTTACACAAGAAATGGCTAAAATCACAGATCTTATAAAAAAAAATCAAAGGAGTTCCTTTTTTTTTCTGTCACTGGGAATTGAATTCAGAACCCTTCACACTGAGCTACAACCCCAGCCCTTTTCTTACTTTTTATTTTGAGACAGGACCTCATTAAGTTGCCCAGGCTAGGCTTGAACTTTTATCTGTGCCTCAGCCTCCCAGAGTGCTAGGATTATAGTCCTGCACCACCATGCCTGGCTACAAAGGGATTCTTGATAGATCCAGTGACCATACATTCCTCAGGATGAAATTAAGCTTATGAGAAATGTTATTGTTAATATCAGAGCTGTATGTTGAAGTCATATGCCACACTAGAGAAACGTATAATAAAAAGGTAGTGATTTGCTGTATCAACAAGAGATCACCTGAGGGTTTAAAACCCTGGCCGTGTGACCTCTCCCACTATTGTTATTATAAATAAGTTGACATGAGTAGTGATATGCTACGTGGCCCTACATATACAATAGCTGTGTTTTTTCATACAAGCTTTAGTTCCTTGGGTTGGCCACGTTGCCGGTCTCTGTCATGAGCATCTGATTAAGCAGGGAGACTCATCCATCCTTTTGGGCACCAGCCCTCTCTCTCACCCACTGCATGATTTTGAACTAGGTGCTCGAGATAGGAACAGCTCCCAAGAAGAGATGTGTTCCCGTCCCTAAGTGAGACCAGTAGGTTCCTGCAGCCTAGAGGCCCTGTGCCGTAATAGGCATGATCATCTTCTCTCAAGGGTGAGCTAGCTGGTCAGACTGACTGAGATCCCTAGGATAAAAATACTTATTAGTAATAAAAGTTAATGTCAGTACTCATGTTAGGCAACTCAGAATTGTTAACACTTCAAACACACATTTATCTATTTCCTCACTGTAAAAAAAAGAATAAAAATAGCAGTCTGGCTCACCTCATAGAGATGTCCAAACAAGAATGCTGTGGGAAAGTTGCAATGTTTTTAAACATTGTGGAGCACTAGTGTACAGTAAACGATTTACCTGTCTGGAGCCTGGGCCATTGAAAACTGATGGCTGGAATTTTTGTGTGGTTAAGAAAAAGGAGAATAAGTGGGCAGAAATGGGAGAACATTGTTATAACACTAGGTTCTCGTTCAAATTGTACACTGTACTGGTACATTAAGAGCCATCAAATTGTTTTCAGGACTGGTAAGATGGAGTCAGCTGCCAATAAAATATATGAAATCAGGAGAAATGATGTCAAAACCTAAGTTCATGTTTTTCTTATTTAAATGGCTTCACAGAGTTTAAATCCCTTCCCTTACATGGGTAAACAGCATTGATTCAGTGCAGGTTTTTGTAAGAAGCAACTCTATCTAAAAATGAAAATAGAGTCATCTTAGCATTGGACTTAGCTGTTGACAAAATCAGTCTGCATTCTCTTTCCCTGGATGTAACTGTCAGGCATCATGTGCTTCTTACAGCCAAACCTTGTCATTTACAGGGACTCAAAGGCTCAAAGGGCGACCCGGGAGACCAAGGTACACCAGGTGAAAAAGGAGGAATCGGACTTCCTGGATTGCCGGTATGTTTATACTTCTTAGGATATGTTCTTTTTAAGACAAAGTAAAACTAGAAAAGAATCATTAACTGAACTCTCAATGATTCCTGTAGTGTTTTTATTTTGAATGATTTGAAGTATTACTGGTTAGTTACTGCATCTGGGGAACGGAAATGCGAAAGTATGTAGGTAAATGCATTACAAAGTAAATCTTCGTGTTTCCTGAATTGTCTTCATTAGAAGATGTTAAAATAAACATAATTGTTCACTTTGATTTAGCACGCATAATATGGGGGTGACTGATCCAGATAAAATACACCAAAAAAGTCAGTCAAAAAATATCGAACAATTAAAAATAAGTTACTCTCTAAGGTATTGTCCTTGTGTACGTGACACTATCAGACAGTGCTCTTATGGTTTCCCCATACTTTTTACCGAGACTTTGCAGGGAAAATATAGAAGCTATTTTTTAAAATGTATTGAACTTGCCTGCCCTACATCTTTTTAAAAGAAAGTATATAAATAAATGTCTATGAAAACTAATTTAAAAGATTTACCTTTGCTATTTGAAATGTGTTCCACCATAAAAGATGTAACATTTATAACCCAATTCATTTAATGCTATCTAAGTTTATCTAATCAGGTCCAATCTAGTTTTTTTTTTATCAACTTTGTATTTTATTTTATATATGACCCAGAATCCTGGATATTTTAGTAACTGCTATTATAAGCTAAGACACAAGGAGAGAAGGCCTCCTTTTATATGTTGTGCATAATATTACAAAACTTCAAAGAAATGGTGGGCTTGGAGGGGACATTCAGTTGTCCCTTCCATGTTGGAACTGACTTACCTACTTGCCTCTTCCTACCTGTTCTTCATAGGGCGCCAATGGTGTGAAAGGGGAAAAGGGAGACTCCGGATTACCAGGCCCTCAAGGTCCTTCCGTAAGTCCCCAGGCTGGACGTGCACAGCTTCTGAGCTGTCTGAGCAATGTTCTGATTCCCTAGATCCACCTATGCCAGATAGCTCACCGGGAGCAGAGACAGGGAACCGCTTGTTTGTCAACTGTAGAAGAAACACCAACCACCCTTGCCTAGAGAGAGATGGCCGGTCTCAACAGTCTGAGTTAGAGGCAATCTTTCAAAGGATGGTTGAATCCCAAGAAGAAAAAAGTCAGTGGTTTCCCCACAGCACTTGTGGGTAGAGTTTTGTGAAAAATACAACTTATATTCTTTCTTTTCTCCAGTTCCCTGTCTGCACATAGTGAAATATTTGCATTTCATGGTGATTGTGGCATCATAGCTTTTCTTGGTAGTGAGTTGCTTCTTTTCCTTTTAATGTACATTTGATTTATTTGTGCATTTGTACAACTGTATCTTTTTAAGCTATTGTGTTCTCATAAAGGAATTTCTAAACCTAGAGAATCAAACATCGCTTCCTGCAGTGCTTTCCTTCTCTGCAGCTGTTAATGGCCTTAGCAGAGCTGAGCGCAAGACCCAGGCTCACCCGCCTTATCTAAATGAAGTAACCAAATCCATGTTTGTTTTTTGGATACACAGATCATAGGCCCACCAGGCCCCCCAGGTCCCCACGGTCCACCTGGCCCCATGGTAAGTTTCCCATCCTTCCTGAACTGAACATACTTGTTTATTTATGAGTGTGCTGTAGACAAAGCATGAACACATCCTCATGAAGAGCCAGCATGTACTCTGCACTGCTCTCCGGGGGATGGACAGAAAATGTGAGGTGCTCTGAGATGTACGGACCTGACGTTGTTCACTTCCTGAACACATGTGCAGGAGACAGAAGAGCCTTGTGATAGAGTTGAGGAAAGACAGACAGATCCAGCAAGCTGTACTCCAACCTCACAGCATGAACATCGGCAAATCGGTTTAACCACTCATTGCTCCGTCTCTTAGCAGCAAAAAAAAATAATAACTAGGACCACTAAAGAATACTTCTAGCCATCTTTGAGGCTTGAGACCCTTTAATGAAGTGTGCACTAAATAAATAGCGTGGTAAAAGATGAGGTCTATTTCCACAGATGGCAGATTGAAGGCTCTTGTCCTTCTGTGGGTTGGTTACTTGTGATGATTTCCTGAACCAGGCCTAGTGTGGCCACAGGTGTCTAGCAGCGACCAATGGAGACAGCTCTGACCTCAGAGGTCTTAGGTCCAGTAAGGAAGGAAGCCGTCAAACAAGTGTCATCCTCAGTGTTGGGCTAACGACAGGTGCACCCAGACTAGCAGGTAGAAGGCAGAGTGCTTCAGATACTTTGATGAGGCAAGGTCAGGGCAGGAGAGGCAGTCTATAAGGCTATAATCATCTCTAAGGGGTCTCGGCAATCAAAGACACAAAAATACAGGTTAAGTAGTGTTCACCCTCCCCTCCTCCTATGATCTAAAGACAGTGTCGTTAAAATTATCCAAGCCACAGTCATCCACACCACTGCTATTTCATAGCCCCAAACAACTACAATTGGCCTTGTTTTCCCATTAGTCCATGCGTGCAGTACATAATGCTTCCATTCCTTGTGTGGAGTTGGTACCTGTGCATCGCACACCTTCCTCTTCTCATCTCCTGTCCCTCCCGCTCCTCCCTCCCTCCATCTCTTGATCCCATTCCCATGTGAGAAACATCTATCTCCCTGCTTCTTATTATCTTTTACTTGGCTCTCTATACTTTGGATTTCTCATATAAGAGAAACCATGCAATCCTGAAGCTTGTATGTTTGATTTGTTTCACTTAACATTATGGTCTCAAGATGCATCCATTTTCTTACAAATGATTCAAGTTTATCCTTCTTTATATCAGAGTAGTACTCCTTTGTGTATAAATACCACATTTTCTTTATCCATTCATCTATGGATGCACATATAGGCCACTTCCAGGATTCAGCTATTATGAATAGCACTGCTATAAGCATGAGTAGGCATGGATCACTATAATACAATGTCTTTAACTCTTTGGAGAAGACAGCTAGAAGGGGAATAGCTAAGTCAAATGGAGTGTCCAGTTTTAGTTTTTGGAGGAATCTCTATACTGATTTCTACAGGGGTTGTACTAATGACATTCCCACCAACAATGGGGAAGGATTCCTCCCCCGAACACACAGCCTCTCTGGCATTTGTTATTATTTCATTTCTCGGTAATAGCCATTCTTTTTGGGCTAAGATGGAATCTCAGTCTTATTTTAATTTGCCTTTCTTTAATAACCAGTGATAGTGAGCATTTCTTCATGTATTTATTGGGCATTTGTGTTTCTTGTTTTCTTAAAGCCAAGTTCATTAAGAATTTAGAAATGTCATACTTTTGGCTTTTTTAGACGCCCTCCACTTTGTTAGAAGGTTAAATTAGAAAATGCTGCATCCTGTTCATACAATCAAATTAATTACTTTAAAGTAACTTTAAATCATTATTAAAATGAGTTAAGAATACCTGATAACATAGCAGCCACTTAATGTAGACATATGTAAATAAATATCTAGGCACGGCTTAACCAAAATTTTTCCTTCTACTGTATGACTTCAGTGTTCACTAGTTAAGTGATTTTCTGCCCAAATATTTATTTAAATCACTTACAACTTTTAAAGAAATGTACAGTTCAGTTAATTTGATAATTAGTGTCTATATTTAGATTTTCATGAAAGACATTTTTATAGTGATTCATGTATGCATTATGACTTCCATTAGTAAAGAATTGTTAGGGCTTTAAAGAATTTCTCTTTGTAAAAATGAATGTAACCTAAATAATGCTTAGCCCCCACTGATCTTAAATAGACAGTGCTATAGGGTCCCATATGTAGCTGTGATCTTCTCTCTTCCCATCTCCTTTATATTATTCGTTGCCATGGGACTAGAGGTGTTAATCAGAAAGATCTCCTCTTCCCTAGTACTTAAGGTGTTGGACTTCTCCTTGGCAATTTTCTGGCTTTTATGTCCTATCTCTATTCTATATAAGTCCATGGAATACCTCAAATATTCTAGCAGATAAAAATGAAAATTTGAGAAGTAGGAGCAATGTCAATTCAAAATAGCTTCTTTCCTAATTTTTCTTCCATGTAATCCTGGCAGATTTTTCCCTCCTTCTCATTGGTGTTTAGCAGACAGAATTGCTATTAATGAATTTCCTATTGCAGAGCAAGGCAAGAGCTGGAAGGAACTTTGGTAGGTAGTCAATAACACCCAATTGCCTGCCCCTTGCTATGGTTCGACATGAAGATTCTTGGCTTACATCTCTTTTGTTACTTGATATAAAATTCATTTCTGCTGGGAAACAGCAAGCTAATTCTTAATTAAAAACTGTGTTTTCCATTTGCAGGGACCCCATGGACTTCCTGGACCCAAGGTAATCCAGCAAATTCCTTGACTGTGTGATAACCATGGGGAAGGGCGTCGGAAGCATGTCTGTCCTGTCTTCTTTATTTGTCAAGTTATGTTGATACTCTTTAAGCCTTTAAGCATCTAGATGTTCAAATCTCACAGTACAACATGCCTTACAACAAATTTAAGTAATTACCCTTAGAAACAAATTGTTCCTTGTTTTGCTTTTTTCTTTGTCACTGTGTATGTTTTCTAAATTACTGGCTCTAATATACTCAGGTAACCATTCAGAAGTCAACTGATGACATTCTCAGGGTAGGCTCAGCTGTAGATTTTATTGTTATAAACTAAAACTTTTGCATGTGCATAGCACCACTGCATCAGAGTGGCTGCACTAGCCAGCCTCTTGGTTTTGGTCCCAGGTGTGCTCTACTGGGAAGATCCCATCATTTACCTGCATTCCATACACTTTGACCTAAAAGTGAATGATGGAGAAAAGGCCCAGCCTGACAGAATTACTGCAACTTGCACTGCAAGGAGGTCTTTACCTTTGTGTCAACTTAGAGGGCATCTTAGGGGAATAAAATGAGCCCTGATATACAGGCTCTACCTTCCAGGGAGCGCAGGTGATAAGGACCTGTGTTCTGATCTCAGCTTTGCTTTTGACAGGCTTTGTCACCTTGGGCAGATTGCTGACACTCTCTGATTCTTCATTTACACAACCAGTAACTTAGCTCAGAGTTGTTGTTAGAAGTATATTTATGAAACACTTAACAAAATCTCTGGTGCTGTTGTTGAAAAACACTCTGTAAACAGCCGTTGTTATTGTCATCTTGTGACTTGATGCTTTGTTCTGAATGGAAATTTTCAAGATAGCTCATCCTTAAGGCTCCTTGAGATAAAGTTCATGGACGCCTGAAGGTTCCTCACTGGAGTTGATGCATTTAGAAGAGGGAGAGGGACAGTGTTGTTGGCAGTAGGCATAAGGTCGGGGTGACCCACCCAGCTCAGAGAGTGCAGTAGGTTCCGGTCACAGTCAGGAAGGCTTGAATTTCCTTTTCAGCATCAGGCCAGCAACGCCCAAGGGTAAGAGAAGTCCGTACCTCCTTCTTTCTTAGAATATCTTTCTTTCTACTAAGGCTGGAGTCAGAGTTTTAAAAGCATGGACTGTGCTGGGGGTCAGAAGAGACTACTTCTGCTTATGATCTTGATAGTTATTTAATCTCTCTGTGCTTTTTTCCCCACCTTGAACTAAATCCATGCTTCCCACTCTTAGCTTCTTGAATCTGAAGGTGCCACCAAACATCAGCCTGGTGGTAATGACCAAAGATGAAGCCGCCAGGATAGTTTTCAATTCCATGAGTGATTCTGATGTGCCATCGCCGTAGAATTAGAAGATGTCTAAGATCTTGTAGATGCGTAAAATAAAATGCTTCTGTTCATATTTAAATCACAGATTTTAGAAAATTGTACAATTGAGAAGACCTCCTAGATGATCTATTTGAGTTCCTTGATTTTATACTTGATAAACTACAAGCCTGGGAAGCTCATTTACCCCAAATCATTCAGCTGTGTAATGACAGATCTGAAACTAGAATTTGCTTTTCTTGCAGTGGATTTGACTGTTTTTAATCTGACCTCCTCTAATGCCCACTCCTGTCAGTGTACGGCTGCCCCCCAAAGAATCTCCCAGCCCATTGGTGCTGTTTTGCCTGTTCATCATCTCAAGATCACTTGCCAGAAGCACAAAGCCTTGATCTCAAGTTTACACTGGGTGCCTGAGGCCGTAGAATCACACTGACTGTGACTCTGATGTTCCCAGGACCACACTTAGCAACTGTCACACATTTAGATTTCCTGTTGTGGCTGCACTGTAAGCCCCTATCTTCAAAAACCCTGAAAATTAACAGTCATGCCAAGGTTCTCATTGTTTTGTCACCTTTGAACGTTCAGATATGTAGATAACATGGTTCCCCAGAAGGTCCTGATGAGAAGATTCCTCTGGGAGGTGATGAAGATATCCATTCCTGCGCTACTGTGGTCCAGAAAGGGCTTGGATCCTCCGGGGTTAACAAGCACCACATCAGGCAGATTGGATAAACTCGGCCTACATTACGAATTGCTCTGCCAGTGTGAGCATGACCTCTCCCCCTAGTCTGAAATCTTCACAAATCTCTCAAAAAATTTCTTGACAAATTAACATCTATACTTAAATGTTGAAAAGTATATGGGTCATAACTTTCTCTGCCTTTAACATGCTCTACTGGGAAAGGGAGATACTGTATCTCTAGGTTTTTGTAGAAGTGAGGCAAGAGAATTTATCACTTAGCTGACTTTTGTAATGTCACCCTGAGTTAAATTCATACTGACTTGATTCTTGTATCAAGGAGATGAGCAGTTAGTAAAAGTAAAACTACACTCGGGTCCTTTGATCTTCATACTCTCCTCGGGGAGAGATGATTTGTTGTCGACTCTATTGATTAATCCACGTAGGGCCCTGACTTGGCAGTGTCGGTGAGGGAGGACTTGCTGAATGGCACCACTTCAAACATCAGCTGCTACATTTTAGCGCATTCCCCTGGGCAAAATGCTTAAAGGCTTAAAATATCTGTCTATAGCACTGTCCTGCATATTCCAGTTCTCCATTCCAGCAGAGTGGGTTTTTCTGATGGAGGCACCTCATCCTGATTGTCTTTGACTTGCCTGATCAAAACAATGTAGATACAACAACAACAACACTCATTTCCTTAAGATGGAGCTCAAAAATTCAGGAACCCAGCCAGGCATCTTTTGATGGAAAGGAACACACTTTGTGGGGAGCTTTGCTTCCTAGAATATTTTTCTATTCTCCATGTCAGTTTATTCACTTAAAATGTTCTCAATAGGGCTGGGGATATAGCTCAGTCGCACAATGCCTGCCTGGCAAGTGTTAGGTCCTGAGTTCGATTTCTGGTACCAAAAGAAAAATGTTTTCATGAATTCTTGAACTGATGCAAGACAGACCTAGCCTGACTCTGCTGTTACCAATGACTGGGATATGCAGTGATTTCAGAGACTGGCTCTCTTCTCTCACAGTTTAAACACCCCTAATAGCAACCACAATTGGCATTTGCTTTTGCATTTAGGGTGAACCAGGGTTAAATGGTGTTAAAGGATTGAAGGGTGAACCAGGTCAAAAGGGTGACAGAGGACCCCTTGGTCTTCCAGTAAGTAAAGAAAACTTTCCATTTCAGTGCAAACTGAGATTTTTCTTTCTACCCTAAGTAACAACTCTGGTTTACTCAGTAGCTATCTTACTGCGGAGATATCTGTAGTCCAGAACCATACCATGTCAGAGCAGAGCTCGGCCCAGTTTTGTTTTCTTTGATGTCTGCCCTGGGGACAGAGGATGACCCTGTAACAGTGTAGTAAATGTCCTGTCATTCTCTAATTGCGTACATGCCAGCCTTCTTCGTCCAGGCTGACAGTTCTCCCATCATCGTCCTCTAAGACATGTTCCACCCGTTAATTCATAAATCTGCCCAATGCTTTCATAATGTAGTGCAGTGTAGAGCCTCCCTCAATCGTCTTTTCTCCTCAGCTACCAAAACCTGTAGCCCTCTGTTGCGGCAGGTACGCAACCAGCCATTGTCAGTGGCGTGCTCTCAGTGCTGTGGTCCCTTACATTAATCAGTCACATGGTGTTCTACATGTTGTATGTTGTTTGTTTGGGAAATTCCCCACTGTGAAATTCTTGTGGCAACATGGGCAGTGTGGAAGAAGGATTTTCATTTGCTTTGAGATTTTATTGTTAATAAGAAAAGGACTTTCCCTTTCATGTACTACATGGCGGCCTTCTTCCCACAACAACTAAAAGACTTTTAAAAGAAGTATTGCATCTGAGGCTTTAGTTTCAACTTTTAATATGCTCCCTAGCCAGTGAATGCAGATAAAAATCCAAAGAGCCTTACAGCTTGCATTAGTGAACTATGACATAAAATCAGTAATAGAAAATAGTTGGTACATATATTTAAAATGGGCAAGGAAAAAGATGATGCCTAGTTATTTCATTTTTCTCAAAGATACTTTGCTCAAAGTACTAAAGTATTCCATCTGAGAGCCCAGGGTTCTACCAGCCAGGAACATAATAGACAGAGTCTGTGTATTCACTTATTGAGTGAATGAGATGTGCCCTTTATGAGAATGTAGGTTAAGTCACGTCATTTAGATCAATGGGCCACAGGCCTAAAAGCTCTGTAACATTATGTGAGTCATTAGTTCACAATTTCAGGTATATATGATATAATGCCAGTATAAGATTATTACCATTTTCCCATTTATTTGCAAGGGTTATAATAGTAGCCACTGATGGGTATATCAAAAGCCAAAAGAAAGTTTGAATTTCCTACTTTATTTAAACTTTTAATGTGATTTCTCTATATGTCCCCTAATTTCAAATTTTGAGCTATCAATAGTATGTGTGCAATGTTTAGCCAAGCTCTGTCTATGGTACCATTAAACAAATAATAGCAATTCACATTTTTACTATAAGCATTGCTAACTGAAGTTGTATTTTGTTGTGACAGTGTGGATCATAATGGGATTATACAGAAGGAATTTTTTTAAATACCCAAAATGGATATGGTATAGCATCATTGGCAGAGTTTGTAGTTGGGATAATTTTTTTTCTTTTGTTTTATTAACTGCATCTGAAGTATAAAATTGGGAAATAGTTCTACAGGCTTTCTAGGAGACCTTAGAGGTCTGGTGCACTGTCTTCTTAAATACTCCTTGATCTAGCCAATATCTTTGATACTTACTACAAATAAATACTTGGACTTCAAGATGCAAAAGCCTTATTAAAAAAAAAAAAATACTTGTTCTGTAAACTAGCATCCAAAATGTCATTTTTTATCATACAGTTTGTGGAGTTCCAGGTAAAGAAAAGCATCCATTGCCTGCGAACACAGGTTTTTAAGGCAGTGTCCATTCAGGCTTCAACACCAGTGTTATTTGAAGTGAGTTGTAGACACATTTAGTTCCGGAGTTATCTTTTTGCTTTGGTCACAAGATTTGCCTCTGCCACCCCCTCCCCAGTTTTTTTCCCGTTCCTAGAATCCCCTCTAGTGGTGACAATCGTGAACAGCAGGAACAACTCAGAAAACAGTGAATAGTCAATATCATCCAGACGCGTTAAAATCCAGCATTTGTTGTGTAAACGATTTTTTAAAACTGTAACAATAGCTCTGTGTCACTGCTCTGAAATGCTACACGTGATTATTCTGCAGAACACTTTCTTAGGAGATCAGCATTATCTTCTCTTCAGAACTCAATGAAATATCCAGTAAAGTAGTCTTAGGAAATGAATTTCATATGGAAATTAGATAGGCGCTTCTTACCATTGTCAGTAACTACTTTGTAGCCCATTTTATAAACCTCACTAACTGGGTTTCTAAATAAGAGTCTGCCTGATAGAAATGTCATTAAAATGCCATCATCTGTGGGATGTTTATTGTCATGTGTTTTTTAAAAAACTAACAATATGTAGCAATGTGATATTCATCCCAGAATCCTGTGACTGCCTATTATGTTGTTGCATTGTTCTCCGATTCCTCATACTAATTTCTGTTCTTGTCATTCGTGTTACACCCAACATCCCTGCTACCAACCCAATCACACAGGGAGCATCTGGCTTAGACGGAAAGCCAGGATCCCGGGTGAGTCAGCCCCTCGTCTTGCTCTGACATGTTTCATGGCTGTGAATCTGGGCTTCCGGTGGTGAGATGCTACCGAAGGCTGGAGCCAAAGAGGAAGGTGGACAAAGATGGTGGAAGAGAGGGCAGGTGACAGAACGGATAGTAGCTCTATCCGAAGTACAGACTAAACTCCCAGAACATCTTTCAAAGCCCAAGTGCAAGTCTCGATAATTTCCTAAGTGAGAAAAATGACCAATATGATTGACTTCATGGTCTTAGCATCCCAGGCAGATTTGTTCATAATCAATAAAATAATTGGCATGCCTGTAACTCCGTGACAGAGGGCTCTGCAATGATTAAAATAATGTAAATGTACTTTAACCTGCTTCTCCTTTTAGATTTATGTCCATCTTAGAAATGAAACTCTTCCCTTGGACTAACTTTCAAGTCTCTGTTCGTGGAAATGACTTGTCTGTCTTCTGTCATTTTGTCTCTTCTCTGGTTCTCTCCAGCACCATCTCTTCGATTTTAGCAACAGATACTCAGTATTTACAAGGCTTCCAAGGATATGCTTTGAGTTGAGGCAGTCAGAAGCATCATTTAAGACGATGGACATTCACTAACACTAGGATGAGTTTGAAACTCTGAATTCTTTCATATTACAAGGCTGTAACCGAATAAAACAGAACTTGGGAATAGAAACGAATTCTTACAGAATAATTATGCCGACATAGTTCCTACATTTGAAAATATTATGATATTTTGCAAATCTACACCTAATCTTCCTGAAAAATGAGCGAACATACTTGACATCCTTGCTACATGTTTAAGAATCTAAAAGGAATTCCAAGCTTTTCAGTTCTAACACCCTGCTTTAAGCAGTTATTATTTTTCACCGTGCCCAGGGTCCCTTGTATGTATTCAAAAGATACCTCTTCTACCACCAAAATCCTACCTCTGAATGAAGGATAGAGGCCGGAAGTCAATCATGCCATTAAATCAAGCCAGCTGCCCGGTTTGCAAGGAGCAGGCCGGTGACTTCAGCCACTGTGATATAAGCTAGAAGTGCAATTTCTTCCCTATAAGCTCCTGCTGCTCCCAACAGAGCTGCACAGATTCTGAGTTGAACAGTTAAGAGCTGTTCTCATTTATTACTTTTTCTACTCATATAACTATTCAAGCCACTTAAAAGGTGCAACACAAGGCTTCTGAGAGTGCCTGGTCCAGGTGGCAGTGAATGTAGGAGAAGGACTTGAATAGGAGACAGGAAGAAAGGACAGATACATTTCTCATGTTAAGAATGGGGGGAGGGCAAGTGAAGATGCTCCGTTTAGTCAGGGAGGAAATCTCTATCTCAGCATGATGTATGGCTTTTTGGGTAGACTCTTCACTGAAATATGCAGTTATATAATTCATCCCTATAGCATGAGCTTCTCAAAACCACTAGACCAAAAGCATAGAGAATAAAGATATGTTGTCTCACTGACAACCTAAGGCATCATCCACCAGGAAAAGTCCAGGATAAATTATAACTGTGTTTCCTGCAGCCCTTGTCATGGGTCTCATATTATTTTTATCTTTTTCTAGGGTACAGATGGCCCTATGGGACCCCATGGCCCTGCTGGTCCCAAAGGAGAAAGAGTAAGTTGCCCCAGAGATTATTAAGCTTTAACTGCGTACTGCAGAAGACAGAGCACGGCTTTTTCACATTAGCTGGATTTGAGCTGTTCATTTTCCAAAAGAAATAAAGGATTCCTTAGGACTCAATGAAAATATAGTATCTTGCATACTATTCAGACTCCTCAAACACCCAGAGAAGAAAACCACTGACTACAAAATAAAATAGAGCCGCCTTAATGAAAACAATGCATACATTTACATAGCTAAAATAAATAGCTCTGATTTTTCTTCCTTTACCCATAAGGAAGATATTTTCATTTGGCCTTCATCCAGAAGGTTGAAGGCAATGGGGCTACAATTTCCAGGACTACATATTCTGGCTGATAATCTTTAATATAAAGCTACCGTATTCATTCAGAGTAACTTACGATGTTTTTCCAAAGGAAATTACAAAACCTAAGTGTTCCTCTCTGCATAGTTACACGTGCTCCCATTTTTTTAAGCTAAAGAATGGCCTGTTTTTCTTTTAGCCATAAGGAAACAATTTCAGTGTCTTATAAAACAAAAACCTTTCACTAACCTCTCTATGGCTAGGCCGTGCATCCATATCCTTAGGAGAAAAACAGAAAAAGGATATTGAGGATGGAAGATAAATGTCCAACACAAAAAAATTGCAGCATCGGCAGCTGGTCCTCTGTCTGGAACTTGTCTCCTTCTCCAACTGTTTTTCTCCCACTTTCTCTTTTCCTCACCTTGAAAAACACAGAAGTTTTTTGTGTATCTGAATAGAATTGTGTCATCAATTTCCCCACCATCTAGGACAGGATATAAAAGAAAGTATCTTATAAGAGAGTGCTTCAAAAAGTTGGAATGCATCACTGTGCAAGTCTGTGGTCTTTTTTAAACTAGATAGTTTTCATCAGCCTGGAAACATTTTTTTAAGAAAGAGGTCTCGGTAGTGATTTCTTTGATATGCCTTTCAGTTTCCTGCTTCTGTGTCCTATAAAGTGAATTCATTCATGTAGCAAATATTTATCTAATGCTACTATATGCAAAGCATGGTATTACTTGTAGTGTGAGATGGAAACTCCTTCTATTCACATTAAACCTATTTTGCCTCTATACGTTGAACTACCATTATAGTTAATTTATTGCCTTATAATCTTTTTAATACTTACATTTACTGCTGCAAAGAAAGCAGTTATTTTTCTTGACCTTTGAGAGCTTACCGTTAGGTAAGAATAAGCAGAGAATAAGGCCACTGTGAAAACAAATAGGGTATGCACATGGTGGAGCCTGGTGTATCCAAGAATGGTTCTCTGAACAGATGAGTCCTAACGGACATTGGATTGGAAGCTGCTGCTGTCTTGTTTCTAAGATCCAACTGACAGCTTCTCAGGATCATCTTAAGTAAAATATTTAAAAGCTAAATATTTTAGCTTTCAAGTCAGCCAGGGCAGATGCGCTTTCAAGCACTGCATGAAGTAACTGAGCCTCAGTACTAAAATTGGAGCAGCAAATCTCTGGCAGTCTTTTGGCAGAGTGCCATGGGCTCAAGAGGGTTTACTGTTGACTAAATCAGCTGCTACTTCCGATTGCAGCCCGGCCTCTCAAGACTGTCAGGTCTCGGGCCCCAGCAGGATTAGCCTGAAGAGCAAATGAAGTTGCTGAGAATTTTTGAAGGCCCAGTTTTAGTCATACAGTGCACAGCGTAAAGTCCTCTGCGTGTCACCTATCTCAACTGGACCCTGTGTCAGTCCCTGCCATGCCCTCACCCAGGGTGCTGACCTGCAGAGTGATTCTCAAAGTTCATCACAGTGCCAGCTGGAGACTCTTGAAGAAGTTTCAGATTTGAAAGAGGTAGGAATCAGCAAAGAGAGGCATCCCAGCAGCATTTCCCAGGGTGGCAAAGGAAAGCCCTGCAGGAAATGAGACTGGCGGAGAGAAAGGAGGCATTTCCCAGCCTGGTCCGCAGCAGTTCTCAAAGTACAAGTGACGGCATTAGTCATCAACTGCATGAGCACCTGAAGCCCCTGCTGCAGTGGAATCTTTCATCTGGCTTCATGCCTGCTTCAAACTCTGCAGCGTGTTAAGTTTGAGAGGCTCAGAAGTTCTTTGGAACTACTCACTGTAGGAAAAGAAGTTACACATCATACACCCGCGCTAATATTTCCTTTCTAAGTGTATTCAAGATGGAATCGTTATGATGCTATTGGCTCTGGCAGACAGAACCTAAATTCTTTTTTTGGTATCGGGAATCGAACTCAGGACCTTGCACTTACCAGGCAGGCACTTGTGCCACTAAGCTATATCCTCAGCCCCTAGAACCTAAATTCAAAATGGCTTAAACGATGAAGACATTTCATATAGCAATGAGTCAGAGAGTAGCTCTAGACGTTGCGTTGGTGCTGTGTCTTCTGCCTAGGCAAGCTGGTGGCAGTGGTTCCACGCACACCTCAGGGAATCAGAGGAGAGACATAGACTGTCCGCAGGTCTCTTTTTGGCAGGAAGAACACCTTTCCCAGAGCACCCAACATGGGACGTGTATCTCCTTCTGAAGAAAGGATGTATCTCCTTCTGGCCAGAGAAATAGAATTGCCTTAGCAAGCTGAGCTGGGCTAATCTAAAAGAGGAGTTTCACAAATCAAGGTTTTAGTGATTTGTTTATCCAAATAAACCCCAGCATATTTATTTGAAAAACAAAACCAAGCCAAAGTTCTCTGCAGAAATAAAAGGGAGAGGTGGTGTCAAAATAATCTATGGAGATTTTCTAAACTTGACCCACTGTCATCTGTGGAGATATTTCAAACTAGACTTCTCTGGCTCCGGTTACCCTGCCCATTAAGCCCCCATTTCCCACTTCTGTCTCTCTTTCTCTCTTCCCGCTCCCTCAGTATTTTAAAAATCATATATAGCAGTGCCGAGTCGCACTGAAATTATGAGGTGTGGTAAAAATACTGTGAATGCTGCCACTGTCAGGTGCCATCCAATGGAAAGGCAGCTTGTAAAAACATGATGCTGTGTCCTCATCCACCTTAGTCACCGGATTTGGCACTGTGTGACTTCTGGCTCCTTCCCCAAAGTCAAAATGACTACAGAAAGTCAATGCTTCGAATCAATTCAGGACATTGAGGCAACCAAAACAGTGCAACTAAAGACACTCACAGAAGTGGACTCCAGAGCTGCTGTAGAGTGTTGCAAGAATGATGGGATAAGTGTGTTGAAAATGAGGGTGAAAAAAAAAAAAAAAAAAAGAAAATGAGGGTGAATATTTTGAGAAGGATTCCTAGCAAAATGTCCTTTACTGTTATTCTTTTTTTCAATGTTTTTATTTTAAAGAAAAAAGAAACAAATGACAACAGAGACAAAAACAAAACAACACAAAAACAATAAAAATGATACAGAATTTCAAAATAAGGTGATAGGAATTTAACAATAGTTGTTATATTACATATTGTTATCGTCAACAAAGTTGCTCAGGTTACCAGATGTAAGAATGCAAGACTGATCAAACAAATAAAGAGAATAAAAAATAATTTAAAAAACATTAGAAACGATACAGAGTTTCACTAATCAAGATAGTAGGGATTCAACAATGGTTGTTATATTGCATATTGTTGTTTTCAAATTAGTTGTTCAGATTACCAGAGGTAAGCATGCAAAATTGGTCAAAAAAAAGAAAAATTTCAATAAACCAATTCAATGTTCCTTTCAATAAACCAATAGTACAATTATCCCAGCTATCCTTGTATATCCATATATATTTTTTCCCTTCCTTCTTTCTTTCTTTCTTAACTCCTTTCCCTCATCCCAGTTGTTCCTTCCCTTTGAGCAACTTCTTTCCCTTTCACCACATCTATTGTACCTTTCAGGTTTTTGTAATACTTTCTAAATGTAAACCTTCACCATATATTTTGTCCATTCCTCACAAATGTACATGTATGAATTAGACTTTCTACTTTTCATTTTTAGGGAGAAAAAGGAGCTATGGGAGAGCCTGGACCCAGAGGGCCCTACGGCCTGCCTGTGAGTTGCCTGTCACTCGAGTGGTCACCACCCTAAGCATGCCTCTGTGACCTGTAACTGACATGGTTAAACCCTTCTGTGGGGCCAACTAATCACACTGGAAAAGCAAGGATGACCCACTAATTATCCACACTCCTCACAGACAGGTCCCCTTCACTCTCTTGCCTCTCCCATGAGCACATCTCATGCACCTCACAAGATTGAGAGGACCAGAGATACCGTAGGATAAACACCACCCCACACTGAAAGCAGGATTCCAGCTGTCAGGCAGCACCCGCCCTGAGCCACTGACTGGACACTCATACCTGGCCCTTCCTTGACAGGCCACTGTGTCTACCAGTGGGTGTGGATGTTTTGCTGACAATGACTTTTGTCACAGTTTGTTCCACTGGGTCATTTATTAAAAATACCCCTTGGTAGTAAAAGTTACTCTCCACATGAAATGGGTATTTACCATACCATCGTGTTTCCGACTTTTCCAAATCACCATGACAACCAATGATCTTCAAAACACAGAATATTGATAGTGTTTTATCATCTGGAAATTCTCAATACACAGAATCAAACTGAGGTGTCAAGCTTATTTCAAGAACATGACCTTGGCTTTAGACAGGATCAATAGGGCAGGTAGGAAACATACACTGTATGAAGGTTTCTGGACTTCAAGCACCTTTCACCTGCTTTGGGTAAGCTGAAATGATAAACCTAAGCCATGGTCATTTCAGATGCTGATTTTGAGATAGATGTCAAAGTCAAATAGAATTCCAACAGCTCCTGGGAAACTACAGGTGGCCCAAGGCTGGGGAACCAGGGTTGTCACCATGATGATCTGCACTGCAGGGATGAATTTATCATCTTTGCATAACAGTCTTATGTCTCCATTTATGTTTGGGAAACATTACAAAGTTTGCTAAAAAATAGATAGGACTTTCATGCCTGTAATACTTATCTGTAAGAGCCAAATTTAAATTTTAAATGGTTTTCACATTTATGAACTAACTACTAAGCTATTGAAGTAGCATTGGTTCACATCCTCGATGAGTGCTGGTGTATTTTTACATCAACTAAACAGTGCTTCTGCTTATGACCTCAGTCTTAAACTGATCACTTGACTAGCAAGCATTGAACTGCAGTCAATGACCAACTGACTTAACCATGTATGATAGAAAAATTTTAATGACTCTTACCTGAAACCCTCACAGTCTCCTCAACATGATTGAAAGGAGTTTGTGGCACTAATCAATAGAGAATACTTTTCACGTTCCTGAAGTAGTTGTTCTAATCCCAGTGTTGCATGGCCAGGCAGCCTTATGTGAAACCACAGCCTATTCCTGAAACTTAGGAACACTAATGTAGCTACTATGGTTCTTTGGCAGGGGAAAGATGGAGAGCCTGGTCTTGATGTAAGTAATCGCACAATGAACATCTTCCTATCCTAACAGAGTCTGATGGTCTCCATCAGGAACAGCAAGAGCACTTGTCTTTCTGTGCATATAGCCATGCATAGAACATATTGCTGTGCATGTAGACAGCAATATAAAATACACTAGCATTTGCATGAGATACACATAAAGGCAAATATAATTATATGGTATAAAACTGACAACCTGACAGTAGATACTAGCAATTCAAAATTCTTCCCTAATTTTAGGAGACGCAACATCAGCATACTCCATTTATGGACAAAATATGCATAAAATCAACAATCTCTCATGCTAGCCTTAAGGAATGGATATTACATTTATAAGGGTGTTATGCAATATTTTTTCTCTTAAGCCTCTATATACATTTTCTTCTGCTATCATAATGCTATAAAAAGTAAATGCCTCTAGAAACCAACATCACTTATCCTGTATTATGTGAATAATGACACAAAGTTATATTAGTTACTGCTTATTGAGCACCTGTTATGTTCAAGCCTGGTTCTGATACTTTCTTATATACTTCACTTTTCACTCTTTCTGCTAGTACATTTTTGCAGCACATAACGAGTGTATTTCTTGGGGAATTAGTGCGTGTACATGGCACACCTTCATTCCTTTTCACATCCACTTCCATCCCTAGATTACCCTTCTTGTTTGAGAAAGACCTCTTCCCTTCCATTATCTGTCTTTTACATTGCTCTCTATTTGTATTTTGAGTTAGCACATTGACCACTGTGGTAGATACTCATTAACCCATTTTACAAGCAAAGAACTAAAGCACAGAGGTAAGTGACTTGCCCAAGCTCACACAAACCAGTGAACTTGCCAGGATCCTAATGAGCGTTCTGATGTTCGTGCCACACTACATTTCTTTGGGGCAAAAGTGGGAAATCTGTTGTGTATATGTCATTGAGAGGCTAGAAAACTATCACTTCCAAGTACTATTTTACCTAAGTTTTTAGATGGTTTGACATGTCATGTTTTATGTTTGCATTTAAATCGCTGAAATTGTAAGGTGGTTCCTTTTTTTCCCAATGTGATTCTGCTAGTTGCACCAATAGATCTCTGGGCTTTGCTTTACCTGCAGGGCTTCCCTGGTCCACGAGGCGAGAAAGGCGACCTAGGAGAAAAGGGGGAAAAGGTGACATCTCCCTCTGTGTGTGCTTTATGTGATTCTGCTTGCACTGTCGGCTTTCTGCCTGACCTGTGTGATCTGTCAGATATCTTGTTCATCTCCGTCCTGTGCTCCAAAAACACCCTTTTCCCTGATCTAAAGAACTGAGGGGTCTTCAAAGAGAAACAGCAAAGGCGACACCACTAGAAATAAGGACACAGTCTAACACAGGAGAAAAATTCTAATCCCCAGCTAGTTACACTATAATCTTTCAACTACCTGACACCAACCCTTTGAAATATGTAATGTCTAGGGGTTTTGAAACATTTTTCAGAAAAGTAAAATTACATCACACAAACCTGCAGTGGTATTTTGGCAGAGCTTACCTGACCCTGGAAAGCAAGCATCTCATTCGTCTTAACGACATGCCCAGGAGAAAGAGAAATGTTGTATTTCTAGATTTTTATAAATGTAGGACAACCAGTATGATAGATGAGTCCATTACACAGATCAAGGACTTGCCTCAGCCAGATTCGGGGCAATAGAGATAGATTTTTAAAGGGGAGAGTTTGGGGTTGTATCTCGGGTCATCAGCTCCCGAATATACAGCCACCAGTACCCAGCAGTGTGGTTTTATGACTCAAACATTTGGATTATGGATTTTAAAACTTAATTTATATTCCTCCCCTTTGCTTTTTCTCTATGTACTGTGCTTGATCCTTGGACCCAGTTGATCAAAGAATTTTTTACACTCGACAAAGCAAAAGAAGCCAGTGAAAATTCAGCGCTAGAATAGAACAATGAAAACCTTCAAATAGTTGAAATTGTACCCTCACAATTCCAATTTAAAGCATTGTACTTCTCAAATTAATTCATGTCCTGAACTATTTAACACCACATTGTTTTTAAAACTTGGTCAATTCTTTTGAACAGTGAAGTTCATAGCTGCTGAAAAACAAAACCAAATGAAATTTGTCAAAGAGAGGAGGATAGGCAGCCTGTTGTGTATGTTTTTGGTCCTAAATGTCACTTGGCCCCCTCTGCTAAGAAAGCCCTATTATCACCAACATTGCCACCTATTTCGAACACATATGTGCTTTTCCAATAATCTTTTAACCCCCACAACACTGTCCTAGGGTTGGTGCTATTATTACCCCATTTCACAAAGAAGAAAACTGAGGCATAAAAAAGTTCTGAATTATAAATTGTGAACATAGAGTATGTTTTGAGGTAAACTGTGCATGAGAGCTTTTAGTGCAAGGTGACTACATTTTTAAATTTATATGTAGTTATATCCACCTAATAGTTTATACTAGTCTAAAATCTTTCCAAAAACTTTGTAACCATGACTTACGCCTTCTTAGAATCTTTTAAACAAGAAATAACCATTATTATAGCTTATAAAAGCATGAAGCTGCAACTTGTTCCTCAGAATGTTAATCACTCACGTGAAAGTGTTTCCCTATACAGATTCCATGATTAGAGGGTTGTATTTAGGAAAGTTAAAGTCTAAAGATGAACAGTTTGCATATATCATTCTGTGACATGGGGAATTAAAATACCAAGAGCTTTCATGTACTCATACCCAGAATTGTGCTGCTCTATGCAATTACTATGTGTTACAAAGCCATGCTGATTAATAATAACCTTGATGCAATCTTCTTTATAGTGTCTCTTTTCCATAAAACTTGATATTCACTAAAATAATGAAAAAGGACGCTTATAGCTTAGCACAGTAACATTTCTATGACCGCTCTGTTGTGCTGAGTGGTTAATCTGAGTTCATCCAACAGATAGCAAATCGAAGTCTGGATTAGTAACACCCAGCACACCCACTCTCAGTCACACCTACTCGAAGATGAGTCCACCACTGCCTGGGAGGAAAGAGCTCACCCAAGGGAGCCTGAATCACTCTGTCCTGGCACTGGAGAGACTGGCTCGGGAAGGATGTTGAGTTACCTCCGAGCAGAAACAACTTCCCGATGATGCCGCTCCTATCCTCCCTGTTCTTTCACCATGACTTTCATGTCTTTGTCTTCAGTTGTGATCCACTAAGCCACACAGAATTTCTCCTTCTCCCCTACAGTCAAGAAACCCAAGTGTTTTTGATTCGGAGCTTTCTGAGGCAATCTTTTTGGCACACAGGAGATAAATGCAATGCTTTGGCTCGGGCTGTCAGAATGAACGTATTAATCTGAATGTGTATCGCATAGGTTTCTGTGCTGTATGTCTCTGCCTGTGAATATTCATGTTGTTTTGCTTCAGAGATTATTCAGTTTTATTGTAACTGCCATGCTGATTGCAGAATGAACACACTAATTTAAATATGTATCTCGAATTTTGTATTCTGCATGGCCTGCTCCCTGCTATAAATATGCAGAGAGATTTATGTTAATGTGAAACAGCTGAGGTGCATTCCTTCCCTCTCCTCCTTTTGCCTCCTTTCCTTAATTCCTCCAGCACTGTGATCTACGCAGAGCTCCCACGACCTTCACCTTCACTCCTAAATACTAATTTCCATGGCTCCATTCCCACCGTGTAATTATCCTGCCTACCTCATTTTTATTTAGTCCAAACTGCTTTTCCTCTTGAACAGGTTTATTTTCTTCCTTTTGGCTTTGGTTACACTGTGAATAATCTGGAAATTCATTTACCATTGAGAACTGGAGGCATGAGATCAGTGAATGAGTGAGCTAAAGAAGACCTGAATGTTTATAAATGTCTGTTTCTCCGATTGGCATTGCTACAAAGTATTTGCACTTCAACTTTTGTTTACCTGACTTACTAAGTGTTTGCCTTCAATTTTTAAAAGTGTTAAAAGCATACTTAATATATTGAAATTTTTGATGAGAGCTTCAAAAGAAAATGATATGATCAGGTACACTTCAAAGGGAAGCTGCTTTTCCTTTTCTTCTCCTTTGGCTCAATACAGTTTGCATCTGTTGCAGAATTTTTTAAAAAAAAAAAGCAAGTTGACAAGTATTGAAAATTGGGGAAAGTATACCTTCATCCACGGAAGTCCTCTTGCCACTGGCTGGCTCTGATATACCTGGTACCTGTCAACATTGCCAGGCCCCTAGCACAGTGAGGGCGGCACTGTGGTACAAGTCACATGGGTCTGCCTGTCTGATGTGTCAGCCTTTTTTACATCATCATCTTTTGGCTTAGGTATCTTAAAAAATCCCACAACCTGCTACCAGGAATCCATTGTCACTTGGGGAGTGTAAGTTCTTTTTATAACACCATGCCTCTTCTAAGACAGCAAACAGTGGTAAATGCCCTTTCAGACTTTCCTTAGCTTAGCCACCTTCTGAATCACCTTCCTTCTCCTGCCCAAATGAAGCCTTTCATTAAACCCTTGTATCCATCCACAGGGGGAAAAGGGAAAAAAAGGCAAAAAGGGGCCCAAAGGGGAGAAAGGAGAACAGGGTGCTCCCGGATTGGATGCCCCCTGCCCGTTGGTATGTCCGACTCACGGTGCCGTGTCTGGATGTTGCGTGTGAGGGTGAGAAGGGAGAAGAGCAAGCGGGGGGTGCCAGCGACAGCAGGGCCACATGGTGCGGCAACTCCAATGGACCTCTACATTAAGAAGCCTGCGGCTTGGGTCACCCTGGTGGCGCCACACCTTTCTCTGGCACTAGCTTTGCCTGATTTTGTAACTCCCCAGTGCTTCTGTGCCTTTGGACCCTGACTATGCCACCTCAGGAGGGACCAACGGTTCTCCATCCCTCCAAAGCAAAGGCCACCACTGCCAGACCAGCCCTTCTTACGGGAGTGGGCCCAGCTCTGATATGTAGACCCACGTCCCTGAATGTCACTTTTCCCCTCCGAGCTGCTCTTCTCCCAGCTTTGTGCTATTCTAGTGTTATTTCTTTAGCAGAACTTGTACATGAGTGAATTCTTGCGTTAGTAACATTATGAGTTAATCTTTACAAACAGGGATTCCGTGGCGTTAAGGGGGAAAAAGGGGAGCCAGGCCAGCCTGGCTTGGACGGGCTGGATGCCCCTTGCCAATTGGTACAGTATTTCTCTCTCCTACCACCCTGCATGCACTTCCTTTGTTGACTCCATGTGCATCTGTCAGTGTAAAGCCGCTCTCCCTGAGAAAGCTTTACATGCTACACATACGACATGCATGTGCATGAGCGGGCTCCCTCGGGAGGCAAGAGAGCAAACACACATTACTCATGAAGACAGACTCATCCACGACATTGTCCTCGCAACTGACATGACTAATGGATCTGTGCTCTTTGGAATATTAATAAGTTTAATCAACACTTAAGGATGACACTAAAATTATACAAAAATATCTGATGTGTAGGCACCATCAGGTCTTAACTCTTGGGTTTACTTCCAAGTTTAACTTTTTTTTCCCTTTTTCTCTAAGAGGAATAAAGTGGGGGGGTGGTAGTTTTTTATTTTGTTTTGTTTTGTTTTTGCACTAAACTTTTATCAGGCCAGAAATAAGGCCAAACCTACAGAATTAAGCTTCTGTCAGCTGTTGTTAACCAGTTCAAGGGAATGCTATGAAGAGACCATAGAGAAGAAAGCCAAGCTTCTTTGAAGACCAAAAATAATTGTCTGCAGCCCAAATCCTCCTCTTTGTCATGTAACCTTCTCAATTTAATGGTCTCTCCTTCGTAAACTCACTTTCCTATAGCACACGCCACTCCCCTATATCCATTGGCATGAACTCAAAATCCTCCTTATACTAAAATCTAAAATTCTACTGGTTGATCCTTCTCCTTGTACCAATCTGGCATCACCAATTTTTCCCAAATATTTTATAAAGCTACTTCCAAGCCTTTTACACTTTTTTTTAAAAAAGTATATTCTTAGTTTCTAAAGTATAAAGAAATTTTGTATGGTTATGTTATATTTGATCTGCATGTTTTTATATGGTTCTTCAATTACAAGCATGATTCTTTAAAGGTAAATTTATATTTCTCAAGTCCATTAAGAGACTATTTATAGGCAAAAAATGTCATTCAGGCAATAGAAAATCTCAGTAGGAAGTGCCAGTCTTATTTTGTTTGCTTGGTATTGATAAAAATCATTTTATAACCACCTTGTGGGGGGGATACAAGCATGCCTTCATAATATATCAACTTTCCCCATCTCATTTGTATCATTTGTATCTGAAGAATGCTTATATTTTAGATTAAAAATTTGTGTCATTTAAAAACTTTTTATTCAGAATGTTAGCTGACTTTTGAAGACCTTAAATTAAAAAATTACTGACTGCTATGACTAACATTGTACTGCCATATAGGCTGCCTATCTTTCAACTGAGTATGTTTGCAATATCTACTTTCAATATAGGAAAATAAAAGATATTGATTGTGGAAAACTATACACTTCAGATAGAAATGGTTTATCACTCAGTATCACTGCCATGAACTTAGTCATAGTCCTTAGTGACCATGAAGAAAAGTTATTTTGGTTTATTTAGTAAAGATAATTGTGAAATATATTTTAATGAAATTAAGAGCTATAGTACAGATTTCTTTTGTAAAGGTCTAACTATGAACTGACCACTTGATTACTATGCTTTATAAACTGCTTTTACAAAATTAGGTATAGATTTTTCTGTGCTATAGATATTTTCGAAAGTGTGTACTCACTTTGGAAAACATCTGAATTATCTTCACTTAACTAACACTGGGCAATATATTGGGAGTTGCTAATTAGGTAAAAGATGGCTATGACCAAAGTCACCCTACAGGTAAAAATCCATTTTTTAAGCCCTTGAGCATGGGAACTATGAAGTGTAATCACTCCTGGTGAGTCTAAGGAATTCTTCTTACTCTTTTTGAAACAGGGCCCAGATGGATTACCCATGCCCGGCTGTTGGCAGAAGGTAGGTTTAGGGACTTATTTCTGAAAAGAATTCCTGTCCTTTCCACTTGACCTGGCCCTTTCCATTCATAACAGACCTTTCGCACTTGACATTTTTGAAAGTTGTTAGAGTGCCAAAAAGCAAAAGACTCCAGTTCATATCTTTGGATGAATATATTTACTGTTGACTTCTTCCAAAACGGATGAGTAAAAACAGCTCTTGGCAAGCACTGTACTTTGCCACCTGCTCTATCTAGTCCTGAGTTTGGAATGGAAAGGGGCAGTGCATCTTGATAATGGTTCATCTGTCAGTAAGATCTTTGTTTTCCTACTGCTTGAAATGATTAATCGTGATTCTTTTTCTATTTCTACTCAATTGTGAAGACAAATGCACTAATACATGGTAGAACCCTCTCAATAGAGTCACAAAGCTGAGAAAGCAGAAAACATTTTTTTCAGTGATGTCTTGATTTACTTAGGAGAAGCTAATTAAATTGGCATTCTTTCCACACTGGTTTATTCTAACCTTTTCATTTGGCTGTGCGTAGACATTGTATGTATTCAGTAAGGATGGGAACATGTCCTCTATAGAAGACCTTCTTGTGCAAAGGCTGTGTGAGAAGTTCTTTCATATGGGGGTGTCTGTCATTTCCTCCCATCCATACAGTAACCTGCAGATGAGGAAACAGCAATTCAAGGAGGCAAAGGAACTTCCAAAACTGGGGCTGCTATGCAATAGTGCTTGGAGAGCTGGACAGTAGGGGACAGTGAGGGTGATGGCAGGACCTGAAGAGAGAGGAGAGTTGCGTGTGTCCCATGCTCCCGAGACACCAAGTCTTCTCTGAAGGATGGTGTGAACCTGATCACAGTACTGGGCACACAGTCCCAAAGGACAGCAGGCCCACCGATGGGCACATGAGCTAGGGGACCTAGACAAGCACTTTGGTCATCTGGAATGATTTTTCTCCAGCATCTTATGAGCTCAGCAATCCCACACAGGCAGGCTTCACTGGCAAACTTGTGTCAAACTAGGGTTACAGAAACAAGAGACTCTCGGTTGCCTTGGAGGTCAGTGGCTCCGCCTGTGAGGAAACCCTGCACAGTTCTCCTCCTTCACCCGTTTCCCCTACTTGGCCCAGGAAAGCAAAGCCTGCGCTCTCTGCCACATCATTTATTTAGTGGCTTCCCACACTCCACTTTCAGCCTGCCAGATACTGGTTTGATCATGACTGAGGTCAGGTGGGCCCCAGGATAAAGACCTCTTGCATAGCCTTCTTGACCCTGTAAGGCCCATCCGGCCTTGTAATGTCATCCTGCTCCTGGATCACCACTTGCTCTCTGAACTCCGTCATCTGATAGGATAATGGTTTTTATCCAGTCATCAGCACCCTGGAGAGAGGTGTGAAGGGCTCAGAGCTGGGCTTGCTGTTGGTTTTGGCCTCCTCTAAATCATTTTCTCTTTGTAAGAGCATATTAATAATAATGCCTGCAGGTGGGTTGGCAAGCCTCAAAGTAGTATTGATAGTGTTAGGAAATCAGAAGCCTCCCTTTTATATACTCAGTTTTCCATAAAATGTATAGCATATTCTACATAAGATTAAAGATCTCATGAATCTATCAACTTCCTGCACAAAGAAAAATAACTCAGTGATAAAATTTCAGGATTGCTTACTGCACCCCCAACCCACAAATGAAAATCGGTATGGTCAATCTCTTTCACCTCTCCCCAGCAAAATCAAAAAAAGAAAAAAAAAAAAAAAAAGGAAATATTCTCAAATTTGTGTTGTGGTCAACTTCACTACTTGAAGTAGTCAGCCCAGATTATTTCTAAAATAATGTATTCAAAATAAGGTCAGTAAATTACTTTAATGACTCTTAAGTGGATCACACTTATAAACACTGCTGGCTTCATTAGACTCTAAAACACATGGCAAATGTCTAACATAGGATTCAGGGTGTGGCAGCAGCACATATCACTGTGATGAGCAAGTCCTGTTGGCATGCTATCGTCAGTAGTCATTTTTTCATGCAAAACTACTTGATTTTTAAGTCACTTTTCCTTTAAGATATAGTTTGTTTCATTTTCTAAATTTATCAACCAGAGAATTTGCTAAACTAGAACTGAAGTATAATGTATCAGTTCACCTTGTAATTCTGGTAGTGAGTAAATAGGAGAATATATTAAGATAATGGAGTCTACTGAGCTCCTCTTCCATCTTCAGCCAGACATCAGAAACTATTCAGTAGCGAAGTGCCTATTGCCTCATCTTCTAATACAACACCTGCATCTTTCTTAATACTGCTCCTAATCTTGTATTTTGGGGTAGGGCTGACAAATCTGCAGCAGAATCTTCCTAAAGCCAAACAGCAGCCTTTTCTAAATCAAATTTTCAAATTGAGGATGGGGAGATCTTTCAAACTGTGTGGATATATAGATTTTGGCATGGCATCCAACCTTGCACGGGAGCTGAACTTTGAGATAAGTGAGATTTTGGAGAATGAATATATCCCATGGGTGTATCTCTGGGCCCTGAGATGATAGACTATATACAAATGCCAAGCGACTTTGTGCATGAAGAAAGCACACACCCTCCTGAGCATTCCCCAGGCAGCATCTATCTTTCATGGAGAGAGAGAAAAACATTAATTAACTGAAAGCTGCCTCTGGATCAGTCACCCATGGAGGGTGGATGAAGATGCCTCTAACATTCTGCTTGCCTTCTCTGCATTTCATTTTTCTTGCTGATTTTTCTCTGACTAAACTTCAAGTCACCAAGATCTGTTCTATAAGTTTATTCTTCAAACAATAAGGCCCCTCTGCCTCTCAGAGTTAACCTCAGCTCTAGGAGGCCTTCATAATAATGCTGCTCAAAATGAAAAACCAGGGATTTGTAGTGTCCTAGGTCACTGTGGGACCTATCACAGAGCTCGAGCCCTGACAGCAGGCAGGTCTGCCTCACCCGTCATTCCAGTGGGACAGAACTAGACAAATGAAAGGAGAACAGAGACCCAGAGACACACAGAGCATTGTACGCAGGCGGGTGCTGGAGATCTAAGCCCTATGACTGAGGCCAGAAACCTGAGCCTTCTCCACAGTAGGATTCTGGTGGTCAGAGAATGTAGGAGGTACAAAGATACAATGGAATTCAGTGGTAGCACATTTTGATAAAACCCTAGTTTTCTGCTTTCCCAGGAAAGTTACTAAAAGAAGCATATATCACAAAATTCTTAGTGGCAAAGAAAGGATTGGCTAAATGTAGAATAAAAATCATCATGACATCCAAGAATTCAGAAAAGTAAGATACAGAGCTGGAGGTGGTGGCACACACCAGCTACCTAAGAGGTTGAGGCCAGCCTGGGCAACTTAGCAAGATACCCCCAACCCCCGTCAAATGCTCAAAGCCTCTATTGGAAGTTCTACCAGCTTTCTTAAAATTAATGTTAATTTGGAATTGTCACCCAAGACTACACACTAATTCCATGTATCTGTCTTTTTTGTTGTCTGTTTTTCTACAGTGACGAATCTAACTTTCCAAGCATGAAGTTGTGTATATAATGGTCCACTTTCTATATTTATAGTTGAAAACCGAATTGCAGATTTTACGAGTCTGAGCTATGTTTACATAGAGCTGCTCCTTCCTGTGTGCGGTAGTACACGTCCATCATTTCTCCACTCACATTTGAAATTGGGCAATTTATGAAAGCAGTGAGAAGCCAGCAAAACATATAAATCAGTATCTCTTACATGAGGATATGTATTTATGTGGACTTCAGTGATAGAGAATGGTTGTTCTTGCTATTTTCTTACTTTGAGCTTGTTAATTGCATGGACAGAGAGCTCCATGAAATCGTTTACATGAAATTGTGACCAAATACGGACTTGAGGCTGTGAACATGTACTATACCAACTGATTGGTTTGCTGTCACTCTTCCCACTCCCCTCCCCTACTAGCATTGGTTCACGGTCACACCTCCCACTGAAACTGACTAAAAAAAGCATGACTGTGTGTCCCACCTGCTTGCTGTGCAAACCTAGACACTAGCATGCTGCTTGATGAGTCCTTCAATTACATCTGAGCTCTTATTCCTTTTGTCATCTCAAGGGGGTTACACCGTGGCTCATTGCCAAAAAGAGATAAGTTGGTGGAGAGCACACACATATGGTTGGTCTTGTATTTTGAGGGAGCTGCAGTTCCAACTGCAGATCTACAGCTTCTGGTGTCATAGGCTCTCGTGGCCACCTTGGCTGAAATGCCAAGGGGCTGAGCCAATTGCTGCTGCCAGTTTTCCTTGGGCTGCCCTTGGCAGTGAAGACGTGAGAAGAGAAATGGTTCAGCATTCTGCACTGTCTCTCATGTGACCAAGTAGGAAAGTGGTTTACAAACACAAACACCCAGAACAGCTGACTTTCTTATTTAATAAACTGGATTCCAGTGAGTGTTAATCTGGGTGCTTTTGGAAAGTGACAGAGGCCGCAGCTCATTTTGGGACAGGAGATCTTTGGAATGGCCACGCTGTTCCTGAGGACAAAGGGTATGCACGTGCCATTGAAGCTCAGGTCGCTGAAGAAATAAGTCTCAAGGAGAGGTTTGCCACATGTCACCTCCTGAAGATGCAGAGGGCTCCCTGGGACATCTCTGCCAAAGCCAGCACGACAGCTTTCACTCCTCCTGAGATCCAGCCAGTAGCCAACATTTTCTACAAGTTCTCCAGAGAAACAAAGATACAGTATTTTCCGTTCTTTTTGATGCTTTTTTCTTTTACTCCGAGGAATATTTAGAAGATATTTGTTTCTGTTTTTATCATATCTTCTTTGAATAAGTTTTTAGAGAAAGGTCTTCAAAATCATACTAACTCAGTGCCAACTGTCAAATGACTTTTTACTAACATCTTTCTTGTTTTAGATAATTGAAGAGATCAAAAAAGCTCCATTTTCAGCTCAATCATTGTAAAGCATGAAAGTTAAGCTTTTTTTTAGTACTTTTTGACTTTTTTACATGATGAATGTAATATACATAGAGATTATCAGTTAATATAAAGCAAGATTTTATCACCTTTGATAGCATTAACTCATGTCTATTTCTTATGATTGCTTTTCTAAGTTTTACTATATTTAGATTTCTTTCTTTTTTACATTTCTAAGTGTTTCTCTAATCCACAGACCAAATCTGAGATCTCAGAAAGCTGTGAAATATAGTTGCCATAAAGAGTATTTTTTCATCGCTTGCTCAAAAATTGCCTAACCATGTTAGACTGGAATTTATTTGCACAGGAAAGAGTTGGCGGCATGGTGTAAAGTGGTTTAAGTAGAAAGTTTACATAAGGAGAAACATGCCAATGAGGAAGGCTACCATGAGCACATTCAAGAACTTAATGTCCCTCAATGATTCTGTATTGTTTTGTGAGAAATTTGCTAGTTTTCACCCCCAGCAGGGAAATCAGCTCACCATTGGCTTACGGTAACAGCAGTTAAGATATAGTTCCACAACAAAGATCCTAAGATCCTTCTGTTCTTTTTCATATTTTGTAACCCAATGCTCAATGATACAGAAAAAAATAATACTAAGTTTTCAAGGTTAGAGAGATGTTTAAACTATTAGATCTGCCTAATTGGTGGTAATTCTAGTAACATTCCAAAGCCCTAAGCCAAGTTAGCCTTTTTAAAACAATGGAGGGCATTTTCTAACAATTTTTTGTATGACATGGTTAGGATCATGTATTGCTCAGTGTCTGAAACAATTTGTCTTAAATGGTTTGGAAAGATTGAACTGGAATAGAACTGTATTCTCTTCAGACAAACCAACTATAATATATTGAGAAAAGTCTGGTGACTATATTTCGTCTTCCTTACTACTCCTTAGTAGAGAGGCATTGCAGTGGGTCACTATTTAAAATGTGCAAAGCCTCCAATGAGTATGTTACATCAAAAGAGAAGCATTTCACATATTAAAAAAAAGTTTAAACATAGCCCCTCAAAGATTGCTGTCCTGTGTGTGTATTGGAATTTTACCCTATAGCCAGCTTTACAGCATCAATTTATTCCATGATTAAAGGAAGCCCTAAAGTCCCAGTACATTTATTTCCTTGAGAAAAATAAAGGAATGCTGAGACTCTTCTTTGTTCAGCAGAATTGCTAGGTCTTTGCCAACATGGGTAATCTTAAACTTTGGATTATTAAAATAGTTTCAAACATCCATTTTGTCATCAATATGGAGAATCCTCAAATAAGGTCCAAATTAGTTAATAATGAATTATGGTTTATACATGTTGGTAGATAACATTTTTCTTAAAGATTTCTTTCTTTTAATGTATACTATAGGATAGAGAAGTAAGAAAATATATAAAAGACAGTGAAAATGTTTTCTGATGAAACATCTTTAAAGAATGCAAACCATTGTATGTTTTAGCTTTAAAATTTCTTTTCCATTCCTATTCATTGGTGCTAATATATTTCTTTTGTTTTTTTCCTTATGGACAATGCAACTCTACTATGGATAATTTCATTTCTCTAATTGCATTCCTAACCTATTTGTGTGTGATTTTATTTTTAAAGTTCATGAATTTGCTATAGTTATGGTTCAATGACCAGCCTTTCTTAATGTAAAATGGTGTGCCTACAGATGATATGTTTTTACTTGGATGGTGGATCCCCTTACTTCCTGTTCATTTCATGCATCATAGCCTTTATCAGCATTTATTCAGCTCATCTTTTAGCTTGTAGAATTTTATTGAAATTGACACAAACTATGTTTGAGAAGTCTGCACACTTCGCATAGAGTACCTGGTGTGTAACACACCTAAACTATTCTTCCAGTTTTCATTATCAAAAGTGGTCCTGGAGGGTTTTTCTTCTGATTTTGTAGAGAACATTAGAATATCTATCATTTCTCTGAGTAGAAATGTCTCGTTTTTGAACTTACAGTGTGTGCATATAGTGTTCTACTAGGACAGAAGAAACTTATTCAAGTGGTTTATACTACACATCCTTTGCCTACAAATGTGTGCATGTGTACATCTGCTACTTTGGAAAATGGTCACAACCAAATGTCCATACCTCTAGGAAAATTCTCTTTGGTATCTTGTATTTTTTCACTTAGGAAAAGTGCTCAATTTTCAAGTTTTAAAAATTTTACTATTGAAGCATAAAAAGTTATTTTTCTTTATCCTTTTTCTCCTTTGCTATATATAGTATCACCTTACCTAGAATTCTTTTTTTCTTTTATTTCTTTTTTTTTTTTTTTTGGTACTGGGAATCAAACTCAGGACCTTGTGCTTGCCAGGCAGGTGCTGTGCTGCTGACCTATACCCCTGGCCCAGCATTTCTATTTCTCTGGGGATGTTTTAACATCTTCTAATAAATGATCCTAAGCAACATGGAGATGCTGATGCTTGAAACATTAGCAAGAAATGAAAATCAATGATTTTAATATATAACACTACCAAAAATTAGACTTTCTAATCTCTGCAAACAAAGACTTGATATCTCTAGGAAGTCAAGGTGAAAGGAATCTTATCTTTCCAAAAATAATAGGATCCCATTGGATTCTGGCTGTTTAAAAAAAAATTTCACAGCCCTAGTAGAATTTCCATGTTTGTTCAGTTATAATTCTGCCAATTGTTTTAGAATATAAAAATTTTCAGCCTTTACTTTCCATTTTTCTTCATATATTAGCTCGATTTGTTACATGCCAGAAGAGATACTCCTCCAACTTAAATTTTTAGTGATTTTAGTTTTTTGCTAGTCCAATCTTAGTACAGTATTTTTTTTCATTAAAGCTATATTAAGTGCATAAACTGCCTATGCTGCTTATTAACAGAATACTCTTGGAAATAGGAAGACTTCTTCAATCTTACTTATGTTTGATTTATTGACAAAAGAAGTACCAACATTTCCCAAAATACATTTGATAGTCTCACATATCTCAGAAATATTAACAAATTGGATTCACAAAAGAATGTCTTACATATTGTTGACATTTATGTGAATATACTTTATACTGTTGTAAATGTTTCATTCAACTTAACATTTTTAAAGATGTATGTATCTGATTTCTCTTTAGGAAATATTATATTTTTGTGTTTTTTACATTTTAAAGTTCATCTTTATGTGCAGCTATTTTTATATTGCAAAAAGTTTCACATAAATACAAACTAAGAGGAAAATGAAAAAAAAAAAAGGCAAGCATTACAGAGTGGTCGTCTTTAAAATGTTTTGTGGGCCAGTCTCATGTAATTGATTTTCTGAGAATGTGTTGTGTCTTATCAGTGTAAATGTGGCACAACCCTGATTATCTCAGTCGTGTACATATTTGAAAGACTGAATTCTCCCTGATTGATTTCTTATTTCAGTTTCATTGTCATTGCTCCAAGTGACATTACTGCATCAAAAGGCTCGTGAAGTTTTTTGATTTGCAGTTTGGAAATAATTGCATGGTGTTCCATTTCTAATTTGTTTTTATTTACTTTTTAAACTTATTTTCAGGGTTCCTAGTTTGTGAGAAGTTGATCTTCAGAATTATTTTTACACTATTTATGACTTATTTTCATAATGTAAAAAGTGTGTAATTATGACAGTATTAATCCAATGATAATGAATTGTATTGTTATAAAGCTTTATTGATGTTCATGAAAACGTTGACCTGTTTTCTTTGATTTCAATACTGTCCACAAACATTTATTTGACTTTTCTGCCAGCAGTGGCGATGCATGCCTGCAGTCCCTTCACCCTGGGAGGCTGAGGCACAAGGATCACAAATTTAAACGCTGCCTAGCAATTTAGCAACTCAGCAAGATTCTGTCTCAAAATAAGATATAAAAAAGGGTTGGGGGTATAGCTCAGTGACAAGGCCTTGGGTTCAATCCCTACTACCATCAAAGGAAAAAAGAAGGAATTTTATTCTAATTGGCACAATATTGCAACCTCAACATTGAGCTTAGCTGTGGTGATTTTTCAAAACTCATATTTTGGGGGTTTTTAAGGACTAGTGTTTCCAAACTGAGCTTCCTGTCCAAACTTGCTTTCTTTCAGAATTTCCTATCTGGATGAATTAACTTATACTCAGTTGCTCCCCACTTCCCCTTCAAGCCATTCCTGCTGTGAGAATAGCTGCTGTACGAAACAATCACCAAGTAACTCCTGAGTTGGGGAGGGTGGCTGAGTGGCTCCAGCAAAGCCTCCATTGTTTCCAGGTCCTGCGGAAAAGCACCACTCAGTGCTCATCTTGAACTCTGCATCCACACCGGGTGCAATCAAGCCACCCTTTCAAACGCTCTTAGTTCGGATGTGTCTGTGCTCACATCGCTTTCTCCTCATTATCAGTGTCCTTTGCTAGCTCTTCTTCCTTCACCCAGTCATGCAGTGAGGACTCCCAGGGCTCTGCCTTTTATTCTATCTTGTGCTTTTGTTCTTTTCTACTACATATTCTCATTCATTCCGAACCTCCCCCTCTCGCTCCCCCAAGCTCATTGATTCCCATGAAGAACACATGGGCTTTCCTTCCATAAAGCTTCTCTGTGTCCGTCTTCCTGGCCAGCTGTCAGCCTTGTCCAGCTGAATATTCCGCAAGTCTTCATGTGCACCCTCAACCTGATTCTCTTCCAGACCTCTGAATCCTGGTGAATGGTGCTACCTGCCTCCTGTGCCATTCAGGGCAACAAGATGGAAGACAAAATCGGTGGGATGCCACCCATCCCAACGTCCACCCATTCCTCTCCCACAGCAGCAAATCCACAGCCCCACCCCATCAATATGACCTCGTACATTTCTGACCTTTCTCAAGTCTAAATTAATTTTTGAATGAAGTAGGGCAGAATAGCACCTGTAGAGTGGCCAGAGAAGGTGAAAAATGTAAAGAAATGGGAGGGGTTTGAAGACAATCAGAAGAAAAGCAAGGAAGGGGCTGATGACTGGGTGGTGGGAGCCACGGCGGCTGAGGACCACGGTTTTGTTGTGCAGATCTGTTCCCTGCACAGTGTGCGTGGTGTCACTGTCCACTGCAACAGCAAACTTTGACCTCCTGAGTCACCTTTCTTTCCATTTGTGTCTACTGGCATTTCTCCATCCTTCAAAGCTGGGAAGCTAGACCTAGATGAGGGGTTCTCAGCCTTTGCATTCATCAGATTCACCTGGAGAGCTTGCAAAAGCACAGATTTCTGGGCTGATAACCGTCATTTCTGACTGCAGATCTGGAGGGGGACTTGGGGAGTGATACTTCTAGCATGCTCCTAGGTGGTGGTAACGGCCTAGGCCCAAGGTCTGCACTTTGTAAAACACTGCTAGTCTGTTTTATTTTCTCTCAGTGGACTGTATGTGGCCTTAATGCAAGGTGGTGAACATCCTTGCATTTGCAGTCTCTTGTAGGAACTTTCTTTCCTTATCAGGGTCTTATCTAAACCTGTGAGATCACTCTTGCTACTCCCCTGGGCAGCAGTGGCTAAATCTCCCAGGGTGAAGGAGGGAAAGCTGGTTACCTTCATTGCGCCTCATGCCAGTTCTGACCACTCAGTTCTCCACCCGTGTACACAGATGCTGTGCCTCTCAGGTGCACGTGGTTTGGTGAGCAACACCTTCTCCTCGCCTCTTGACAGCCATCTACTGACCTCTCAGACATTCTCTTCATTCAGTGACCCTCTTGGCACCTGGTTTACAGTCTTCCTGTTCATGATAAATGCCGCCATTCTTACAGGTGACTTCAATGTCCACATAGGCAATGCAACCAACATTACACGCCATCATCTTCCTACACCTCATTTCTATTGACTTTTTGCATCATCCAGTTCTACCACCCACAGCACTGACCTGCTGACTTTGTCAGAAATCCCTAGAATTATCTCCCCTGGAATAATGCGCTGAATGCATTTTATTCTGGTTTCTCTTTCCTCTCCGGCCAGACTTTCCTACCCAGTAACTCCCTCTCTAGCAGGCTTGTACCTTTCAGTGCCCACACAACTGCACTTCCTTCTTTCTCCAGCGTAGGCTACACAGGTCAAGTCATCTACACTAATGCCAGCAAACCCCATCCTTCATTGTTCTCCCATTTGTTCACTTGACAAAAGCAAACCCCTAATCTCCCTGTCTAGGTTTCTGCATCTTTACCTGGTCTATGTCTTATCCACTCAAAACCACGGAAGAAAAAAATCACTCAGTGGTCAATATTGGTCCCCAAATCTTCAAATTCACCTGTGCTTCTGATGCCTACAAAGAATTGGTGGTCTTCCTGTGTTTCCCCAGAGTAGATAACTCAGACTTTTTCTACTCTCCTTTAATTTCCACCCTTCTCTCTGTAGTTTATTTTGCCTTCACAGAGGAAATCCATAGAAGAGATTCCATCACATCCTTCTCCAAAACTAAAAGTGCACCCACACCTACACTTTGATTTCTTCCTTGCCATCTGGTATAACAAAAAGTGACACCCTTCTTCCTCTCCAAGGCTAACCTGTCCCCCAAGCCCCCAAATCCATCCCAGGCTTCCTGGAACCTTGTTCTGTGAGGCTGACTTCTCCTCTGTCTTGAACACATTGAAATATATTCATGTGTCTTCTTCTTTTATCAAAGTCTCTTCTCAACCCTATGCACCCCCTTTAGCTACTGCCCTCTCTTTCCTGCACCCCCTTAAAGACCAACTTCCAGGAAATGGATTCCATTCTCACCATCCCTACTTCTTCATTTCCTATTTACACCTCTGCTAAGCTCGTCTCTGCCCCAATCAACCAAACTACTCCCCCTCTCTGGTTTACCATCAATGTTCATTTTCTCTCTCCCTCTCTTCTTCTCTCCCTCTCTCCCTCAGTCCCTCGGTTCCTGTCTGTCTGTCTCTCTCTCTCTTTCTCTTTCTCATCCCTAACTCCAGTTTGGAGTGCAACTGCAGACTCATATGTGGCAGGCACCTCCAATTCCACATATGGGGAACTGAACCTGGCCTCTGCCCTTCCACCGCCGTCCGCCTCCCACGCCCTGCATCAGGGAATGTTGCCACTACCCCCACAGTGGAGGAAATGGAAACCTACCCATCCTGTCCTTCTCAGCATCACAGCAGATGTTACAGGCTCACTGCGTACTAGAAGGCCACCACCTAGCACAGCGACTTGCATCTCTTGTTGGGTTACCGTAATAGCAGGTCTCACAGTAGTTGGTCCTGCCTCCTGTGGTAGCCAAATCATGGTTCCTTGCTTCAAGCACTGTACACTGAAGCTGTTTGTTGCTCAGGTAGCCCTCCATCCTTTCCAGTCTACATGGCCTTCTACCCCGAGCCCACATGTGCTGCTCCAGCCTCCCCTCTTCTCTGTCCCTCTGGCCCTGTGTCCACACAACCTACATTTGTTCTCCACTCCTCCACCAAGGCTCTCCTCTCCCCCTTCCAGGTTTGCTGCCTGCCATTTTTTCATCCTGTTATAATCTAAAATCTGCTTCAGCTCCTTAACTCCTTCCCATCCTTGGAGTCTCAGCTTGGCCATTGCTCCCGCTGGGGAAACTTCTGTAGACTCTGGGTCAGGCAGCTCCCCGCTGTGCTTCTGTTGTGCCTTCTCCTTTGTCACAGCATTTTGTATGTGGAATCACCCTGTCCAGGGACACATCTGTGTGGTCACATTTATGTCCTTCATGCCCAGCACATAGGTACTTGAAGAAATATATGAAGTAATTACCCAAAGGAATACAGAAAAAGCCATCCAGAAATAATACAAACAACTAGGTGTATAAATATGCAGCACCACGATGAGCATATAATTCATGTGAAAGCTTCCATGTCTCTCCCTCTGACCCACAATTGACAACAAAGAGTCCTCTGACATGAGGCACACAATTACATGTGCATTTTCCCTCTGTTCTCCTAAAAATTGCAGAATCAGTTTATAACTGCCACAGCCAGAAATCTTACCGGGCTGTTCTTCCGGACCAAGCTGTGTTCACCAAAAATCAAATTTCCTATAAGATGGTAATGGAAATTCCACAACTAAGATCACTCAGGATAATAGTGTGAGCTGAACATTTAAGAAAATAAGGCTTTCACTGAACACAGTTGGGAAAGTGCTGCTCTGTAGAATTCTTCACTCTAATGCAGTCAAAACCGGACCCGGAGGAGGTATGCATGAGGTCAGTGTGCCCTGTCGTGTAGCTGACAGCCCGGTCACTGGGGTCAGGTAGGGTGTCACTCTGCAGTTATCAGGGCTGTCCCCACTGCTGAGTCCTTCCTCCTGGACACTCCCCCTCACGTCACATTTTCACCTCCACTGCCCTCAATGCTCTTGTTATCTCTCCCCTAAAATGCACTAGGATCCAATCTTACCTTGAATTGCAGCCTCATGTTGTTATCCACTAAAATACATCAGTGGGGACAATGATAAGCTCTAAGAGCAGCAAAGCACCATTGGGGAAATATGTTCGCCTGTACATAACAGGCTGTCAACTAGATACAAGCTCTTCTTCCTGAATTATGAGTTGTACGCACAATCAAAAGGAAGTTTGGCATATGGGGACAAAGAAAGACAGTCATTTATCTTGGGCAAATGTGTTAAGTTACTGGCTGAAAACATGGCAGTATGGAGCTGCTCAGACTGGAAGAAAGCACTGACTATCTGTGGCTGAAATGGAGACTGGCGAGGTATCAAATATCTAAGTCATTTTGAGGTTAAATA